AAAAGAAGTTTTCTGGTCGGTTGGCGAGATGATAATTGCAAAGACTGCAGTCACATAGAGTTGTGTTTTTGTTTTGTTTTTTATTAAGACTACAATAACCCAAATCACATAATATGCTGCAAAAAAAGGCACTGCCGTGTGATGTAGAAGGCTGCACTACGCTGCCTGTGACTGTGGTTAATGATAAATATAATTACTCTGTCATTCTCGAAATGACTGACTCTTTTCAGTGGATTATAGCATTCAGCGTGCGCTAGGAGGTGTCACGCTGTCATACAACACAAAATGACAAAAACATATAGCATTATTCCGTATTGATTGGGATGATCCACTGCTCAGAATCTTTTCCTCCTCCAGCGATGATATGAAAAAGGTTTATTTACTAAACAGCGAATTATGAATTGAAAACAGGATTGCAAAATTCAGACAAAAAAAACAACAAGCTGTCACTCTAACTCATGGGTCCTCAAACTCCAGCCCCCCAGATGTTGCTGAACTACAACTCCCATGATTCTCTGGCTATCTGTGTAATTCAAAGAATCATGGGAGTTGTAGTTCAGCAACATCTGGGGGGCCGGAGTTTGAGGACCCATGCTCTAACTGAATTGGAGAATGTTTTAACATGCCTCTGTTAATAATCCTACCCCCCACAGCGCAGCCTATACCACCCCCCCAAACAAACCCACCCACAATATTTAGTAGACCTAGGATTGGTGCTTCTTACCTTTTTTTTAAGTTGTACCTGTTCCACCAGGACTCAATTAATGGCGCCACCATCTTGGTGTTTCCAATATGGCGGTTCCAAGATTCACAGTGGGGATAAAAGAAGTACATTAAAAAAAAAAAAAAGTGACCGAGCCACTTTAACGCCGCGGCTTTGGTATAGATTACGCGATTATCTTTTCCATTCATCCCAAATCACTGTTTAGTGAATAAACTTTAAAGGGGCAAAGTAAGTTGGTTTCTATAAATGTATCAAATCCAGATTCGATAAATCCCTTTGTTCTCATACGTACACCGTTCTGAGCCCTACTTACGTGTAAAAAAATCTATACATCTTAGGAAGCAGGTCACACGTTATATAATTTTGTTGGATAGCTATTTGCGGTGCCTTTTGCTTGTTCTCCTGTTAAGCCCTTGAAGGAAGATTTTAGGAGAATTCCATTATTTAATCACATTAAATCTGAACATCATGTTTAATGAAGAGTTACATAGTCTGTAAATAAGTGTAAAGTAAAATAAACAAACACCGTCAGAGCTATTGACTAAACTGGGAATTGTCTTGATATTATGGTGAATTCAAGCTGGACCATGGTTGACGTGAACAAAATCTCCTAATACAGTTATTTTGGGCTAAAATACAAGAATCTCTTTGAACTCTTGCTATTTCAGCCTTCTCAGTGGCTTATTCGTTAAACACGGAACTGTTGTGAATTGAAACCCTGCAACATTAAGGCAAAAATGGCCACAGATTGATTTGTAGGTGAGATAGTGAATTTTTCCAAATTGATACCACAGTCTTAAAGGCCCGTAACACCATTACTATGCTTGCATGTTTTGATTCTAAATTGCTAAGATAGAAAAGTAAGATGTTCTGCTTGGTTGACATCACTGTGACGTTAGGCACATATTGTTCCATTCCAATTTAGAATTACAAGTATTTAAAGGCACGTTACAAAATATCAAAATCAGTGTGCTGGTACTCTACATTAAATGCATTTGGAGGATAATTATACTCTTTAAATTCTAAGATGAGGTCTTGCTAGAATCATGTCACTATTATTTCTATTACAGCCTGTGGAGGGTAGGCTGACCTAGGTGACATTAGCACCGCACTTGTGATAAAAAAAAAAAACATTCCTTTTAGCAAGATGCTATTATTGAGGGGTATATTTCCAGGCCTAAATTAAGGGGTTATATGAGGGCCTGTGATTACACAACTGGGGAATTAATTAACGTATTAAACTTAAAAATTAAATGTTATGATGTATTTACTATGTTAGTCTGAACAGGCAGCAACCACATCTGTCAACTTTTCCACTAATCACATTGTCACGGATTATTATCCAACCAATATGTATCCTGCTGTGGTGGATACATTAAGTGCCAAATTCACAGCAGAGATCACTTACCACGATGTGAATGATGCTATTAAGTGCCATATTGTCCCTTTTTATCATGTAAGTTAGGTCATCAAGCTCCATAGCCACAACGGAGGTTGCTTATCATATGGCTGATGCCATCAACTGCCATATGTATACATAAGACATCACTTACTATCATATAAAGGCAATTCAATGGGCGTCTTTTGTTACTTAAAGAGAAACAGAAAACCTCTTGATTGTTGGGGAGCAACGTTTAGATAGCAGTTGGTGGCATCTCAGAGCTTCCACCCTGCATTGTACAGCGCTACTGAGTTTGCTGGCGTTATATAAATAATAAAATTAGAATAAAGTGGGACCAACTGTTCAACCAACTACATTTTCTACAAGACTAGAGATCTTTAAGTTTTCTGTGTAGTAGGTAGAGGGCTGGGGAGACTTTTGACATTTTTCTTCGTTCCCCCATGACAAGGAATAGGCTGATTAGTGGACTCTCTATTCTAGACTAAAGATTTCACACATACAAAAGCGATTGCTATCTTTGTTCTATTTTCTGCCTTAACCTGATGTGCAGATCTTTCTTATTTTGATTTAGATATTCCTTTTATGGATATCTCACTGATGAGGTGCACAGAAATTGGAAATTATAGTTCTTGATCTGGACTGCTCTGAGTGAAATCGGTTTGAAATGCGACAGGCTAAAATTACACTTAAAGGGACACTATAGTCACCAGAACCACTACAGCTTAATGTAGTTGATTTGGTGTCTATAGCCTGTCCCTGCAGGCTTTTCAATGGAAACGCTGCCTTTTCAGAGTAAATGCAGTGTTTACATTGGTGCCTAGTGGCAGTCAATCAGATGACCACTAGAGGTGCTTCCTGTGTCAGTGCCGCACAATGTGTAGCATTGGCGTTTAACTATGCCCAGAGGCGCTAAATGTTTCCTATAGAGATGCATTGATTCAATGCATCTCTATGAGGAGATGCTAATTGGCCCAGCATGGTGTCTTGACGTGGGAAAGCGTTGGATTGGCTGAGATCATGAAGATTAATGATTTCAGCCATGGATGCAGGGTCAGTAGCGGTTCACCTTTTCCCTGCACTTATGGTGGGTGGGGAGCAGGAACCTAAACAGCAACACCATCAATATAGTGTCAGGAATACATGTTTGTATCATAAAAGCGAATACAAAAACGCTATTTCCCAAGTCATAAAAAATCCTTCCTTGCATTCTGTTAACCTAATAAATCCACAGTGCCAAAGTGTAAGCTGCTTTCTGCTTGTCTGAACATTCATACGTCACTATTTTATATCGTTACCGTGAATGTGCATCAGCTTTACACAGTCATGTTGGTACTTCATAACAGCACGATTAAAATAGCTTGGTAAGTGCAAATTAGATGGGCTATAGATAGCAGAACCATATCCCACCTTTAACTGAAGATGCTAATGGAAAAAAATATTTTCCAGGGCCTGCCTAAAATCAGTTCACTTTCAAACTGTTAACTCTTAGGGTAAATAGTGCTATAGTTGTGGATAAAGGCTGCTTATTAAAAAAGAGTTTAGTGATATTATAAGTCCCTTTATAATCACAAGTGTCAATACAGCATGGGGTTAATGCATCAAATGGCTACCTTACACAACCTAGCCCTACTGCCATTACTTAAAGCAGGGGTGGGGAACCTTCGGCCCCCCAGATGTTGTGGACTACATCTCCCTTGATGCTTTGCCAGCATTATGGCTTTAATAGCATTATGGGTAATGTAGGGCAGAACATCTGGGGGGCGAAGGTTCCCCACCCCTGACTTAAAGTGACACTTCAAACACCTAAAGAACTTGCTTGCTAAAGTGCTTTATGTGTAATAAGTGTGTCATCTTTTTATTTTTTTTATTCTACAAAATTAGCAGATTTCTATAGAAATTGGTACTTTTATAAATTGATCTGGTTACACACCACTGGCTTTTAAGCAGACAACCGGGTCCTGTTACTTCCTGGTTTGGTTTGCTCAATGGAGATAAACTGAAGAGGCAGCAATTGCCCAAAGCACCTGCATTGCAAAGACTTCTCATTGAGCTTCATTAAAAGTCTGTGATTGGGCAGCCACAGAAAGTCTGGGCGGGGTTAGAAGAGGAGGGCTTGCAAAGACTTCAGTCAAGAGACCTGCAGGTTTTGCAAGCTGTTTTTAGATATTCCCAATAAAAAATACATAATTAATTGCATATGTGTTTTCATTGACGGTGTATCTACTAAACAGTGATTTTAACAAAATATTTCAGAAGTGGAGTGTCCCTTTAAGGAGACATGTGGCATAATGGTGGTGCGCTCTTAGTAGTATATCAGAGTCGCTCATATAATGCATGATATTTAACCATATTGTCTGGGACAGGCAACCTTCCACATTCTAAATGTTCTAGACTACATCTCCCATGATACATTGCTAGCATTGTAGCTGGAAAAGCTTTATGGGATATTTAGTCCACAGCATCATAAGTGCTAAAGGTTGCCTACCCCTGGTTTAAAGTATGGCTATTACTGCATGGTGTTTGGGGTTAGTATGGGATTAGTACAGGGTTATTATGTGATTCAGCACCCAGGACAGCTCCCTGAGCATCTATTCTCCCTGAACATGTCCCTAACAAAGGGTTACAGCTCAATCCTTTCTTTTTATTCGCTTCCCCATCAGCTGAGACTACTTAATGCTGCTTGTAGCTTGGAATAAACTGATTTGGTAACACGTTTCACTGGGTGCCCCTCTGTGCACGGCATATTACACTGGGTGTTGATAACTGAGCGATCATTCATTAGCCTGGGGGGCTGCAATATCACTATTCACCACCAGAGGCGCTACATAAGTCCTGAAAATAAGCTCAGAAGCCAGGAGAGCTTTGTTGGGAGAACCGCATTTGCGAACAGCAATCCGTGCTGCTCAGAGGAGAGAGGGCTTTAAAGGACCCACGGTGTGCTCAGGGTTAAAGCCAAGACAGAAACCCTAACACCAGAGGAATCTGCAGCCTGGAGTGCAAACTCATGGGGGGACAGGGTAACTGCTACACGGTAGGTACTGGGCACCAAGACTGGGACTCTTGCTGTACCCACTGAGACTATTGTCACCCACCAAGTGATCACTTACTGCAGATTGTCATTTGGATATCCCCCCCCCCCTCCCCCCTTCCCCTATCCTGCTGAGAGAGGCTGGATGAAGTTTGTAAAGCCAAAGTTTAATTTTTATTTTTGGGAAACAAAAATATATATATATACATATATATAAATCTTGCCAGTGTGCCTGTGAAAGATGCTTACCCATGGAAGAAGATTATGATTAGAGGCACCACCTGTAACATCTCCCTGAGTCTGGAAATTCTGTCCCTCCCAGACACAATGACAATCTCTTGCAGGATGTAACTATCACAGCATGGCACTATCAACAAGCACACACAGATAAGTACATGTTGATTTGCTCAAAGTTAGATGTCACTGTGTGTGCGCTCTAGTCCTGTTTTCATTTCCAGTCTGTTATTTCTGTATTTGTTTTTCTGCAACTGTAAAGATGGGGAATGTAGAGGACCCACATCAGGAGGTCCCATGGTGTACAGTGGATCCCCCAGGATGTACAAATAATCACACTGTATGCGAACTAGACCATATGAAGAACTAGAATGGCATCATTAGTGATGTATGTCAATTTACTATTTATAATGATAAACTGTTTAATACTGAATGCTGAAACAAAGAAGGCTGCTAGCAGTCTTTAGAAAATGTTCTCACAATAACCACAGGAAGTACATGAAACAAAGACCTGCAATTTTTGGGGGGGGAGTTTCATGGTGGTAGTCTATGATCCTTGGTCTTCAAGGGGAGAAGTTGTTCCACTGACACAGAGCACAGAATGATTCTAACCCTCTGCGTTTTTATCCTGTGCATGTGATGAATTCTATACCTGACTACAAATCTATACAGGTAGGAGGGATAAAAATCAAACCTTCTGTTCTTTTGTGCCCATTACTTAGGGATATGTCAGGTGTACCTAGAAGATCTACAAAGAACGGGTTATTATATAAACTTCACAAAATCAGACCATTTTACGTAGCGAGAAACCCCTAATCCACTCTCCACACCAGTGTTCTACAAAACCAGCAAGTGTGAGAAGATCCCTAAATTTGGATACAATGTTCTCCAAGAGAATCTTTGCTGCTCTGGGTTGCGAAGACAAGGTTTTTCCTTTTGGATAATCTATCACCAGACTTCAATAGGTAAGGGTTTTTCGTCCTGTTATCTGCTGCCCTGCTTGGGGCAGATAATGGCTTGTCGGTGTGGCTGCTGTTGCGGTTTTGGTCACCTGAACGAAGACAACGGTAGATTTCTTTTGCTGGCACTTCTCATAATTTTGTACTTGCTCTGTGGCGCCGCCATCTTTTCTGCCATCGAGCATCCCAAGGAGAAGGAAGCTAAGGAGAGGTGGCAGCATAAACTAGACAACTTCACTCACAAATATAATCTCAGCAAAACTGATCTACACAACTTTCTTCGGGACTATGAGGAGGCAAATGTCGCAGGGATTAGAGTGGACACCATTAGACCAAGGTGGGATTTTCCTGGGGCTTTCTATTTTGTAGGAACAGTGGTCTCAACAATTGGTAAGTCATAGTCTTACAGATAATGCATTGTCTTGATAATTAACAATGGGGAACAAGGGATTTTAAAGCTAGACTTTAAGGCCTAAATGGGCATGCATCACTTGACAATTTTTTTTTTTTAAACCAGCAAGCAAACACTTTCAAACCAATTTGCAAACCAAATTAAAGCAAACAAATCTTTGAAAAGTTTATAATAAATGTTTGTAAACTGACTATAAACTTGGTCAGATTACATTAATGGTAACGCTTCTCAAGCAGGGGAGTTTCTTCAGCCTCCCAACCTTACCCACCTATCTCCGTTTCAGACTGGTCCACAAATGGCAAAAACAGGGCTTCATTGTGCAGCAGCATGATAGAGAAACCAGACACTGTAGCCTGCTCTCGGTGATCACACTGATCAAACTCCCTCTCTTCTTCTCCTGTCAGCATGTTGCAAGGTGAAGAGATTTTTGAAGTGCAAATGTGTAATCTGTCAGGAAATGCACAAAGCACTTTTCCAGCATTCCTAGGGATAGGACACTGATTGGTTAGGTCAGTGCCCAACTCTGGTGTGGGTGAGGAAAGCACAAGAAAGAAGCAGGTAAATATTAAAAAATATATAACATTTTCCTGCTTTTTTTCAGCCTGCAGTGTGAGGAAACTGTCTGAATGAGACCGTTGTCTCAAACTGATGCATGTCCCTTCAAGCTAAGCAGAGAAATATAGATTGTGTTCAGTGATAAGAACTTTATCCACCTAGACCAGGCTTCCCAAACTCCGTCCCTCCAGATATTGCTGAACTACAACTCCCATGATTCTCAGCCTATCTATTTCATTCATCCATAGAATCATGGGAGTTGTAGTTCAGCAATATCTGGAGGGCCTGAGTTTGGGGAAGCCTGATCTAGATTCACGAGTGTACTTGCATATTCTTCAGAGAAAAAAAACAGAACATTACGCCCTCCAAAAAAAAGTAATTTTTAAAAAATATATTCTGACTTTTAGAATAAAAAAGTACCAGGATCTATTTCTATATTTTCATCTTAAAAATCAGCTGATCAGGAAGTGATTTGGGGTCTGAAGGCTGCCGGATTGATTTTGTTCTCAATTAAATTCATTAGGTTGTGAGATAACAAGGCCGACTGGAAATTCATTGACATTACCTAAACAAAACAGATTTGTCTGCGTGCAGAATTTTGTAATAATTTTTTATGATCAAATATTTCCATTATACGATGCTCGGATCCTCCAAGGTTATTGTAATATATATACCAAAATGTCAAAGTACACTATAAAAATAATAATTCTTCGAAATGACTCCTAAAATACTACATGGATTTGATAGTGTGTTGTTTTCTTTTGGATTTCTTTTGGATTATAAATTAATTTCACTTTGTTTTTTTTTTTCTTACAATTCCTAACAACAGTTAGAACTTACCCAAAATAAAAAAAAAAAAAAAACAGATTGTACTTTTAATCCTATAACTGCAGTAGTTGTTTTCAAAAAGCAGATCACCTGCACTTGTAGAATTGGTAGCACTAAAATAATAAACATGAGGTTTTTTTTTATGTAAAGTCAGTTCTTACAGCATGATCAAGCTTTGCATATGTTCCGTTCTTTCACGTTTGTGGGCCTGTTATTTTGAGAGCAGAAGATTAAAATGTGAAATGATGATACTGTGTGATAATAGCAAAGATTAGATTTGGCAAAGTAGCCCTCTGTTCTGTACATTAATTTCAGCGAAACAATAGGCAGGAAATAACACCTATTTTAATGCATTATATAGCTAATGTGTTCAAAATGATAATAATAAAAATAAAATAAAAGCTAAAAATAATACTTGATGTGCAGCATCCTAAAACCACAGCACTTGTACAAGCACGTGCTACAGCTGGCCACTTGTTCCCAAACCAGGAAGATATTCCAACAATCAGGAGCTTTCTTTTCCTGGTCTATATTTTTTTTTCTTCTTTCGTATCCTAAAAATCCCTCTCCAGTTGGGTTTTATGGAATATATACAGATTAGTCCTCAGCCACAGTTCTACCCACTGAAAATGTTATAACAGCCATACCACGGCTGCTATCAGCCTATCCACAGCCGATTCACAGTGTTCTAAAGCAAACATCTGCTTCAGAATGGGGAGGGCTAAGTTGTTCATCCAAGTTCGGTGGATGTCAAAGGATGGAGTAATATTCATTCTATCAGCTCACTGATGCAGGGGGCAGTCTTATTGCTGAAACTCTGACGTGACAGTATGACTCTATACACCTTAGGCTTTGATTTGGTGCAAAGTTGTTATGGTGCTTTATGTGTCCCTTTAAGTGCAACAGTGGAGAATGAGAATTCATTGCATATAACCCTGGGCATTCAGTTACAGATCAGCATGTTCCAAGCATGCATTGCATTCATATCTTTTGTTGAATATCTCGTAATAAAGCACCACTGTCATTACTAAAAAAATTGGGGGGGGAGGGGGGCCTGACCATCATGTTCTGCCCGAGCTCTGAGCCCACTCTCTGCTCTTGACCAAATACTTGTCTCTAAGCTTGCAGAAACTACCTAAACCGAATCTCCTCAGTTCCTACACCGAGTAGCAGACCCTCAGAACCGTTGGTCCGGTTTCAATCAGCCGGAAATCTTTGCAAGGCCTAGCAAATTGCTGGAGGTGCGAGACAGCCGATCCTCTGCCCGGTGCACCGCCACTGTGTCCTCAGCAACGTACCTGACAGACCCATTCCCCCCCTCTAGACCAGTGGGGTTATCCCGGTCCCCGCTGGTGACCAAATAGCACTGTAACCTGAACTAACTCATAAGATTGCGGCCTACTCTTACTCAAAATAGCCGCCGTGCTGCAGCCTGCTGCTCTGCAATCACCTAAGAGCGTGGACCCACTCCTGCAAGCCTTTGATAGACTGTGTGCCCAATTCTGGGAAAAATTGAGGGCTCGAACACTCACCTCTCCCACTACAGGCAGAGAACTTGCCCCACGGATCCAGCCTGCTGACCAATGCCGCAAGGTGAGGCTTCACCCACGCAATCACGGAGTGTCCTCACGGAGATTGAGGTACTAGCGGCAGCCGCGGCTCGCTCATAGACACTGATATCGGGAACGTAGACCACCGCTGAAGCGAAATCGCAGCACACTGAATCCTGAACCCTGCTAACGGGCCCATGCTAGCTGCTCCAGATGGTGCAAACTCCACAAGTGTAACTTGCGCGGTCGAAGAAACTATGCTGGACAGGGCTGCTGGCATGCCCTGAGGGGGTCCCAGGGCCTTTTTCCCACGGTGGGTCTCTTGGAGGAACTTCTAGTGGATGTGCCCTCACACCTGAAGACGATGGAAACCCCTGCTAGGACCAACAAAACTTATGCATCCACCTGCCATCAGCCTCCCAACTCTGGGCATAGGCTGAACTGCCCTCCACACGGACTGCAAATCCCACTCACACAGCATTTAAGTTAAAAATTTTTTTTTTTTTTTTTTTTAAATTCTTTATTTAGTCGTGTGATAATAGAACAATTTTACCTATTCTGCCACAACAGCAGAAGTAGGTTATGAACAAGCATACAATTGCGAGGCATAGGTAAGTATCAACGATTAAACAGCACTTTTTGTAATATATCAACTGCATTTGATAGGACATGTCGGTGATGAGGTGAGTGCTTTTCGGGTGCAACAGGGCATGTCAGTGCTCACGGGGTGAATCAAAGCTTGTAGTTGCGGGTCTGAGACTAGGTGTTGAGCTAAGAAGGTTTTTATCGTATGTCCATTGTGTCACTATCTCAGGTCCCTGCTCCTAACAAACAATACTCTATACGATCTGCAACTAGGTGTGTCGCTGTTAGGGGTGGTGTCTGTGTATGGTTATGTGACAGGAGGGTCAGGAGTGTATTTACATTCCCTTTGGCTTCACTCTTATGTCTGCGTGTTTCACTAGATCGTTTATGTACCGTTTTGCTATTTGTGCCCCTAACCAAGGGGGCGGCGGGGGGGGAGGGGGGGTTGATAGAGCATCTCTTAATGCTGTCTGAGGTGGGTCTGGGTGCCCTTAAGGAGGGTCCCCGTTGTTAAAGGAGTATAGGTAGAAGACCCTGTCATACAGGTTGGGGATGGTAAGTGTTCTCGGGTATTCAACCTATATACAGATAAACCAACATTCGCATTGCTATTATCTGGGTGAGCCGACTACTTATAGTCTTTTTGTAGTGTCCTTGGTATTGTTTCTTCTCGCCGTGATTGGGTGGGCAAGCGGTGCTTCAAGCCAAGGGAGTGCCATTCTCTATGTCCCTCTGGCCCTCTGATGTGTCTACAGTTGTCAGTCCCAGCGTTTCAAGAAAAGATGAGGCTTCCGCAAGCGAGGTGAGTGTGAGGGTAGTCCCATTGTGTGTAGTTAAGAGTGAGCCCGGCGCTCCCCACCTGTAGGTGATATTGGCGGTACGTAGTTGTTGGGTCACTGGATGAAGTGATCGGCGCCACTGTAAGGTGGCCCTCGTCAAGTCCTGATAGAAGGTGAGACTAGAGTCTTCAAACATTAGTGGGGTCTTGCCCCGCAGCGCTATCATTATTTGTCCCTTGTCAGAGGAAGATGCACAGCGAAGTATAACATCCCGAGCTGTTTGTGAGGCGGCTCTTAGGGGGCCCGCGTCCCGGTATATTCCGTCAATCACCATTTTTCTTGCCGCCGCTGGAGGTAAGATTGTTGCCAGTAGCCTTCTTGTGTAGTGCGGCAGTTCATCAGTGGAGATCTCTGCAGGGATGCCTCGTACCTTGATGTTGTTGCGTCTATGGCTGTTCTCGAGGGCGTTCAGGTGTAAGGCCATATTGTGGTGGGATTTTTGGAGCTGGTGTACCGAGTCTTGCACTTTTGTTAGGTTAGTGGTAACTTCGGCTATATCAGCCTCTGTGGCCTGTACCCGGTCTTTTGTGCTCTGTAACTCTGCTTTTATTCCTGTTAGTTCTTGCGACAGGATTTTGTGAAACTCATGTAGGAGGATTTGTAAGTCATGTTTAGTCGCTGGTGGTGATCCCTCCGGGGATGCTGGTGGTGCTATATAGAGGTTATTTCTCTCGGTTAGTTCAGCTTGAGCTGTTTGGGTAGGACTAGGCTGATTTTCCTCTGGGGTCTGTTTGGGCCTAGCAGGCCGCTGAAGCATGGCCCCGATGTCTCTACCTTCTATCTGGGTTCCAGCTTTCTGGGAGCGTCGCCCCATGGCGGGCATGAAGTCTCCCGAGGTGGAAGGGGATCCGATGCCCGGGTTACTTGTAGGGCCTTGATAGGCTCCACCGTAGAGCGCCGCTAGGGTAGGCAGTGTGTGCGCGGAGTAGGCCCCGGGCTTGCGCTTCTGCTTCTGCGTCTTTGTTTTCGCAAAGAAGGGCATCTATCGATGCAGTGCGGGTTCCCAGGTCGGTGTATGTGTTTGGGGTGGTGGGATCAGGCTTGATGGTCAAGATTTAGGCGAGATTTTAGTTTAGATGTCGGAGCTGTCAGAAATGGCGTCTGATCAGCTCGGCAGTTGGCTCCGCCCCCCTAAGTTAAAATTTTTAAAACCCACATCTTATATTTGCTCTCTAATATTACTGATGGCAACGCACACCGTTTAATTTGATTTACGATTTAGTTTGACCTTATATTTACTATTGGCTGAGCAGGCTACAGACCCCCCTCTACAGAGACGCGGTCCTATTACCAGCCTCTTTCGTATCAGTTATAATTTGTTTATATTGTTTTAACATCATACTAAGCATCCAACAGCCAGCAGTGAAAGACGACTTTAATAGCACTCGGTCGTATTTCACTCTCCCTCTCTAGTCAGTTTTATATATGTTCAGTTAAAGCAATGTACAATAATCAGCTCTCTCTTACTGACATATATCTGTTTGAAGCTTGCCTATAGTATCTAGCAGGAATCTTGTCCAGTGAGGCTAGATAATCTGTTTAGACAATACTTCAGACTTCCTGTCTTGCCTCTTGCTTTTCCTCATGTACTTTATAATATAAAATGTGCTGTCCCATCGACATTTCCTACCACAACCATACATTTATATCGTTTCATTCTGCACGTAAAAATAAAGAATTAAAAAAATATTTCATAAAGATAATATTCTAAGGAAATACATTGACTGTGATTAAATCCCACTGAAATTCCAACGCAGTTAAAAGATGTCATAGGAACACCTTATCTTGTGCATTTTTTATTACGCCTTACAAAACTTTAAAAAGGGCAGGGCTACCTATAGGTTTTGTCATTTCCACCAACCATCACTACTGACTGCTATGAGGAAAAAGACATTACTGCAATGTACAGCTTCAGATAAGTAAAACGTGCCTTCACCGGCACCCCCGGCTCACAGCACTGCAAGTAAATTACCCCATTGATGATTTATTTATTTTTTTAATATTATTATTTATATAAAATTTATGGCTCAGTAGCCATATTGGGATTCTACTATTATCTGACCATCTGCTGCTCAGCCTAACCTGCTTTCTGCCGTGATTGCTCTGTGTTTACTGTGTGAACCTGCAGCAAGCATCTTAGGTTGAGCAGCAGTAGAATCTGACCCAACATGGCCGCTCAGATCATACAAAAATAACATTTTGTAGAAAAAATAAATAAATAAATAAAACTCCATTTAAAAATAAAAATCGTGAAGTTTTATTAAATGCAATAAACTTACAAAAAAAAACTGAAAAGTGACAATATCATGACATTTGTCCTTTAAGTACTTTTATAGAGAAAAAAACCAGGAATGGACAGGTAGCGAAATTTCTATTTGGGAATTGGAAGTTGATCTGAAAGGGAATACAGAGTGGGCACTATTGAATCTTTTACTTAATTTTTAAAGAGGATTGCGCACATTGACTCAAAAATGTTCACTTCAGCGCTATCTGTCAGCTAGATCAAGATCAATTTATGCAGAGGAGATGTCTCACTAAGTGTTTTTAGCAGAACATGAAACATTCATATTTTAACATTGTTACCGTGGAGAAATCTTTATAAATATTACATTGGTTTCCAAGGCGATTGCAGGAATTTCAAAAACTTTGCTTTGCCGTTGTTTTTTTATACCTTACAACCCTATATATGTTTCAGTACATCATAAGCATTAACCATTTGAGGAGGACGAGGACCTCAATAGTATTTAGGCTACACACATTCAATAAACCGGGATTGTGGAGACTTGAATACTGTAGAACATGTGCTATTGTAATCTCCCTGTGAACTCCACCGTTTATGTTTTAGTAAAGAGCCCCTTCGGAATATGAAGAGCATCTCTGGGGTAAAGGTCTATCACAGCTGCAGTAACCATGGAAACCAGTGCTCACTGTAGTGGTTACTTTGCCAAGAGTACTCTGATGCCTCCCCCTTTTCAACGTCAAACTATTTAAAAAGTTTGATATACACTGAGTCGCTTCCGAGACCCCAGGACCCCCCTCCCCCTCCATCCACCACCATGTCAGTAATGTGGCAAAGGCACTTTTGCTTTATTAATGCCAATTCGTTCAATGTGGCAACATGGATTTGCTGAGAATGCTGGAGTCGGGTTAGCCCAATTCTCAGAGTCTGGTATTGAAATCCGAAGTTGGGCACACAATGCAAAAAATCTGTTCCACATTAAAAGGGCTGCAGCAGAGGTGACGGGTTTTATCAGATTAATTGATAAAAGTTTCACTTTGGTTTCTGTTTATGCAGTTCTAACCTGTGACTGATACAGCCTGCATGAAAAAAAGTTTCATTTTCAAACAGATATTAACTTACGTTAAAAGTTTTTATCTCCTGCTCTGCAAATACTCTAACTTTAATCAAGCACAAGAGGCTCAAGCAGGGTCTAGCATGCTATTAGCAGAACAGATAGAAATTCTAAATTAAACAGAATGTGAAATAAAGGAAGTTTAAACATTAGATCTCTCTTTACAGGAAGTGTTTAGCAAGGGAGGTGTGACTGGGGCTGCATTAACAAAGTGATACAACTTATAACTGGCAGAGAATTGAGCAGTGAGACTGCAGGGACATATACACCAAAACTGCTTCATTAAGGTAAAGTTGTTTTGGTGACTATAGTGTCCCTTTAAAGTGTCTCTGTAATCGCTAAATCGGTTGGCTTTACACTTCTTACTGTATACAATAAATTATACATTAGACTAGCAGTGCTGGGAGAATGATCCATAGGAAGGTGTTAATGTACATTACAATCTATTGTTCCATTCATTGTGCATATTCATATGGAAGGTACACCCCCACGTTTAACACCATTCCACCTTGTTAACAAGTCTCCCAGTGTACATGACAAACTGCGGGGATATATTTGAAGAATTCACCAACCTACCTCTCCGTTACAAACCTGGGCATTTCTTTATCACAGAACACAATGCTGCCTGACAGCTTCCATTTCCCTTAATGTATTCTCTTTAGTGACAATTTCACACAAGGTTTAAAAAAACTCAATGCAGCGCTTCTAGAAGCCATTAATATAGATTATTCTGCTGGTAAATAAGTGGTTACTGATACCTGCTTGCTATGTGCTGGTTTCCTTAGAAGCGTTGTGACTTTTTAACATAGCATGATTCTCTCGGTTTTTAAAGGCGTGAAGTAGGGGGAGGTGATTATTTAATCACTTTCGTACACGTTGGTATGGTTGGCAGCCTGTAACTTTCAGCATATGGTTCAGATCATATCGTGCCAGCGACAGACACCTGCTGCTGCCCCTTGCTGCACTAATTAATGAGCGCACACGGTCCCTTATTCTTCTCATTTGCAGGGCCAGTCTTAGACCTTTTATTGACCTGTCAGAAAGTGGAGGAAATTAACCCCTCCCTTCACCAGTGAACTACCTACGCTTCCTTTTTCATTTATCACCATCATAGAATGATAAAAGTAAAAGGAATGGTAAATATTTCTTTACAAATCAAAAGAATTTCAGAACAGTCACTGTGACAGAGTATCAGACAATGTTACAAATAACAAGCATGGTCAAACAATTTGACAAAAGTAAAATAAATATGTTGAATTCTCTTCCCAAAGAGGTTGTGTTATCAGACTCTGACGCTATTTTATAACAAGGCTTGGATTCTTTTTTGCATAAACAGAATATTCAAGGATACAATTGATATGTATGTGAACAGGTTGTTGATGACCATTATGTAGTCAAGAAGGATGTTTTTCCTCTTTTATGGCATAATTGGAAATAGCTACAATTACGCAGGTTTTTTGCCTTCAACAGCGTAAAAGAATGGGGTTCAAGGTTGAACTTGCAACCTTTGCAGAAAATTTTACTAACACCCAGGATCTGGTGCCTTCATACATTGCATCCTGACGTTGGTCGTTCGATTAACTCAGCTATTGAGTCTATGTCTGTCAGGCAGGCATAGGCATTTCTCCAAAAATTGCACTATTTGCAATAGCCAGGATGGAGGGGCAGCATCTGTCCTAGTGTCCTTTTAAAGGACCACTATAGTGCCAGGAAAACATACTTGTTAAATTTTTGTTAAATCCGGTTGTACGTAGCATTGCATCCAGACAGAAGCAATGTAGATTTTTGAAGGCGTGATATTTTGCTAGAAGGAAAGATAAATTTAGATTTAATCCACAAATGTGTAAAACTGTGAATTGTAAATCCGTGTTGCTCTATCTTTAAACCAGAAGATCTACATGTTTTATGCATCTTGTTTGATGAAAGAACATGCTCAGTTGCAAGTGAGCACCAAGATTCAAATGAACACTACAAGCGCCATAACCACTATAGCCCTCTATAACAGGAGTGTGCTGGTGCCGTCCCAGTATAATTATTTTAGATGTTTAAGCCCGGTTTGATAACTTACCTGGGTCCCAGCGCTTGCCATCTGCCTCAAACCTTTTTCCTGGATTCTCCTACAGGACAATGCAGTAAGCTATACTGGCCCGACGCAAGGTCATATAGGGCCGTGCTCACGGGCTGAGAGGATTAGATTAAAGGACCACTATAGTGCCAGGAAAACATACTCGTTTTCCTGGAACTATAGTGCCCTGAGGGTGCCCTCACCCTCAGGGTCCCACTCCCGCCGGGCTCTGGGGAGAGAAAGGGGATAAATCCCTTTCCTTTTTTCCAGCTCCAGGCTCCATCGGCGCTGGGACTCTCCTCCCTCTTCTTCCGTCATCGGCTGAATGCGCATGCGCGGCAAGAGCTGCGCGCGCATTCAGCCAGTCTCATAGGAAAGCATTCTCAATGCTTTCCTATGGACGCTGGCATCTTCTCACTGTGAAAATCATAGTAAGAAGCACGGAAGCGCCACTAGCGGCTGTCAATGAGACAATTTCTCTGAAACTGCTATGTTTACAGCAAAAAGGGTTAAACCTAGCTGGACCTGGCACCCAGACCACTTCATTAAAGGACCACTATAGTGCCAGGAAAACATACTCGTTTTCCTGGCACTATAGTGCCCTGAGGGTGCCCCCACCCTCAGGGTCCCCCTCCCGCCGGGCTGGATGGAGAAGAAGGGGTTAAACTTACCTCTTTTTCCAGCGCCGAGCTCTCCTCCTCCTCTCCTCCTCCTTTTCGGCTGAATGCGCATGCGCGGCAGGAGCCGCACGTGCATTTAGCCAGTCCATAGGAAAGCATTCGCAATGCTTTCCTATGGACGCTGGCGTCTTCTCACTGTGATTTTCACGGTGAGAAACGCGGAAGCCCTCTAGCGGCTGTCAATGAGACATCCACTAGAGGCTGGATTAACCCTAACATAAACATAGCAGTTTCTCTGAAACTGCTATGTTTATAGAAAAAAGGGTTAACCCTAGATGGACCAGGCACCCAGACCACCTCATTAAGCTGAAGTGGTCTGGGTGCCTATAGGGGTCCTTTAAGCTGAAGTGGTCTGGGTGCCTATAGTGGTCCTTTAACCGCTCTCAGCTGAGTGTGATCTTGCCACCTAGCTTCTCCTGCAGGAAAAGACTTGGGCTCCTGGAAGATTCACGTAATTCGTCAAAGTGGACTAAAGTTATTTAATGTTTTACACACTGTAATATGTCCTTACAATGTACAAGGTTGTTAGCTTATGAATTCTTTCAGAGGCACAATATAGTCACCAGTAGGCATGTGCATGGTGAAAATATTCGGCTCGGTTCGGCATTCCGAAATTTTTCAAAATGATAGCATTTCATATTATTTCAGGGGTTTTCTAAAAAGTGCTTACGCATAAGTGCACTTCTGATAAGATGCAACTGGATATCAGATAATATTGATGTAATAGTTAGCAACTCTTTTAGCATATAATGCTGAATTCATTACTCTTGCCTTTGGGACATTTTGAAGTCTTTGTCAGATATTTAATCTCCATTTGTGAAATGTTTACACCCAGTTGCACAATTGATTTAAGGGTCAGTTGTTTTTTTGAGCAGAAATCGAGTTGTATTATTGATTCTTATGACCAAGTCTTTTTCTATATATAGTACCTGCAATAACAGCTTTAACCAGTTCGTATCTTTATATTTTTTGGATACATCCCTATTGAACCTTCCCACTGCGCAGCCAAACCAGAGGTAGAATCAGCCCCCACTGCTGCTGCGTTAAGTACAGGACTGAATGTTCATAGAGGTCTAATAGACAAATATCTATTTTTTTTCTGCAGGAGTTACTAATTGTATTGATAGCTATAGTACAATAAGTACATAAAAAAAAAAATAAATAAAAAGAATGGTCTAGCATTCTCCAAAAATAACGTAATGTTATTTACTGCATAGCAGGAACTGCATAAACAGCTGTGCACTAAATAAAGCAGCATTGTGTTATTTTGGAGAGTGCTGAATCTGTTTTGTTTTGGAATGAACTACTGGTGTAGCAGTACTGGATGTCTATACAGCTCCCCGCTTTTGTAAGTGCTCATCCATTCTTTGTTGTATGTAGTATATTGAAGGAACATTACCATCACCATAACAACTTTATCTCAATGGGGCTGGAGTATCTGAGGGCCATCCTCACTTCAGGGTTAAAACATTTTCAAACGGTTTAACCCTGAAGTTGATGCCACAGAGTTCGACTGATCTGTCTTCTCTCTTCCTTCCTTTGTGCAGTACAGGAGGTGGTCGTAAATGGCTTAATTGTGCCCAGACACTTCTGTCCCCATAACAACTTCATTGAGTTGAAATTGTTATGAGAAGGGGAGTGTACCTTTAATGTTTAATGTGTGTACACCATGGTGTGGTTTATATTTTGAAATAATAGATTAGACTTGTCTTTGACTCTGAATTTAATAGATTAGATAAATAAAACTGGCGACTGATAAACACGCAAGTTAAATTCACATTAAAGGGACACTATAAGCAACCAGACCACTTCGGCTAAGTGAAGTGGTCTGGGTGCACTGTTCCTGTTTAGCCCTGCAATTGTAATTATTGCAGTTATTGAAAAACCACAATAATTACATTGCAGGGTTAACTCCACCTCTAGTAGCTGTCCACCAGACAGCAACTAGAGGCACTACGAGGGCCTTAGGTGACTTTTGGTTGCCTAATTGACAGTGGACGTCCTCACGCTATGCATGAGGACATCCAGCATCCGCTGAAACCCCAAAGGAAAGCAATGGTTCAACGCACTAGATCCCCAACGTCAAGGGAGGTGGAGCAGAGCCTATAGTTTCCCTTTATGATTGATAAAAAATGTGATTGCTTGGACGTGATAGAAATAAAAGTAGCATATTTACTGCTAATTTTCCATGTCCCATATCAGCCAGTCCACCGATAGAAGCACAATGTTGAATAAAACAAACGATGACCAAGTTCTGGTTTCGTAGTTAGCCTAAACCATAATGCTAGAGGTTAATTCAGTTTTTAGGAAATAAAATAATCTGCCTTGAAAGCTCCGATATCAGGCATCTCAAACTTTGCCCCCTTCCCAAATATTGCTGAACTGTAATCCCCTTAATTATATGTCCATCTACTGCATTGAGAGAATTATGGGACTTGTAGGTCATCAAACACTGGAGGGCCAGTTGAGTTCCCTATGTATATTATCAACCGACAATCTAGAAGAGAAAATCTCCACACAGTTGACCACACAGTGCACAGGTAGAGGTCATATTGCGTATTTGCACAGTGTTAAAACCAATCAGAATTTATTTTCTGTGTCCTGATTGAAGTCTGTAACATAAACTTTAGTTTATAGCAAGAGTTGGCAAAGTTTGATTTTGGCAAACTCCATAGCCCATTGCCATTCTGTATCAGAACCGTTGACATCATGGGAATTTAAATGAAATCAGCCATAGCTGGGTGGTCACAGACTGAGCAGGCCTGGTGTTGAGTAGGTGGTTAGAAAAATGAGTCCTCGGAAACCCAAGAATGACCCAGCATTTAATGTGTGTTATATTACGTCTGTTTTTTTTTTTTAGTATGCAATTACTAGGGCAATGCTTGAAGTACGTTGTTTCCAAGCGTGAATGAGAAAAGCTCATGAGGTTGCCATAATCAGAGCTTAAAAATGGAGTTTAATGAGAGAACATCTTTATTCTATTATCATCATACAAACTTGATTACTCAGATTAATTCTAGCTGGAGTTTGAAGGTGTTACATTCACCCTGAAACACTGCAACAAGTTGTTAATTTATGTGCGTGTTAGCGAGATTGCAGTTAAATCATTCTGTCACTTGACGCAAGCACTAAGCACGTCCAACAAGCAATATCTGACAGTAAACACATTTACCCTGATAAATTAGCATAGCATTTTAATTATTCGTTTTTCGATAGCTAGAGACTAGCATATCTTCAGCCAAAATATTGAGCATCAGTTAAAGGAATTTGGGAATATAAGCCTGTATGCCTAACACTATGGAGCCCCTAATTCTAAAATATATATGCCTCCCCCTTCCTGTTTCCAATAAAAATTAACATTGTTTTACTCACGTATTTCCAGCATTGAGCATCCATCAGTGCTGCTCACCTCTCGCTCTTGTAATGTATTTGAGTAGACATGGCCCCCTCCACATCCATGATGGTCCAATCCAATGTTTCTCATAGAGGAATACTGAGGACTTGATGCGCATGCACGGAAAATGCTGCTCGCAATTCCATGCTTTTCCACATAGAAAAGCATTTTATTCAACGCTTCTCTATGGACTTCCGCATCACGTGACCGAGTTTTACAGATTGGTAGCTGCTAGAGGTGGATTTAACCCTGCCATATATACACATTGCAGTTTCAAAAAAAACGGCAATGTCTTACAATGAAGTATTAAAAGTAAAAATTTAATCATTCTGTTACTTGACACAAGCACTGATCATGTCCAACAAGCAATATCTGACGTGACCAAGTTTTACAAAATGGTAGCTACTAGAGGTAGATAAATCCTTGCCATATACACATTGCATTTTCTAAAAAACAATGTCTTACAATGAAGTGTTAAAAAAATAGACCCAACCCATTTCATTGAGATTAAGTGACTATAGTTTCCTTTTAATGAATAGCAAAAAAATTAGTTGGTGTTGTCTTGCTTGGCTCAACCGTCATTCAATATATATATTTACATTTATTCTTTTGATTTTCCTACGTCTTTGTTAGTATAATTATTTTTTTTAAACCACTGCTCAGTGGTGTACTAAGGGGGGGGGGGAGGGGGTGGAGGGGGCGGTCCGCCCCGGGTGCCACCAGGGTGGGGGGTGCCATGACTAGGGGCACCGGCCCCCCCATGCTGCAGCGGCCCGAGCGCTCTGTTGAGAACCTCAGGCGGCTGCAGCTTTGCCCGGGCGGTGCGTCCATGAGGGCGGACCGCACCGCCCGGGCGCAGCATGGGGAGAGGGGCTGACAGGAGGGAAGCGCTCAGCGCTCCCTCCTGTCACTCCCTCTCTGTAGCGTGGCCGAGCCCTCTATTGGTCCGCGGGTACAGGGAGCATCTGTCTCCTGTACCCGGCCGGACTAACAGAAAGTGCACACTCAGTGTGCACTTCCTGTTAGTCCGGCTGGGTACAGGAGACAGATGCTCCCTGTACCCGCGGACTATACTGGGCTCGGCCACGCTACAGAGAGGTAGGGGGGCAGGGGAGAAAGAGAAATTGGGAGGGGGAGGGGAGAAAGAGAAACTGGGGAGAAAGAGAAATTGGGAGGAGGGGGGAGGAAATTGGGAGGAGGGGGGGAGGAAATTGGGAGGGGGGTTCATCACATACACACAATGCATTGCACACACATACACAAGCAATGCAACCTTTACACACAATGCATCCCTTACACACATTCAATGCATCCCGTACATACACAGAAACACACCTTGTAGCCCTTACACATACAAACACAGATTCACACAATGCACTCCTTACACACATATCAGGACATCCCCTACACACTCCACCCCCTGTGAACAAACTCATTGGTGGAACATGAAGGTGGACCCTGGGACCCAGACTTTGAGCTGTGTAAAGGACCCCCAAAAAATGGAGCTGCTTCCCGTTCTCCAAGAACATTGATTTTTGTGACCACAGTTACAAACCGCCTCCAGAGAGCCTGTTCTGCACCAGACCAGTGGAGCCAGACTTCAGCTAGAGCCCATCATCATCCTCATCTGGTTGTAAGTAGGCAATCTAGTATATTATTCGTGGCACTAAGCTCTAATTTACCTCACATTAAAGAAACACTATAGTCCCCAGAACCACTTCAGCTTAATGTAATGGCTCTGGTGTCTATAGCCTGTCCCTGCAGGCCTTTTAATGTAAACACGGCGCACTGCAGCACTGGCGTTAGTTAACATGGCAAATCATATGGGTGGGGCATTGTGATGTCACATGGGGGGGCGGCAAACTTTACTTTTGCCTAGGGCGGCAAAAATCCTTGCACCGGTCCTGGCTGGAGGGGGCTGTGTGAGCTGTGGCCGCACAGTGCCCCATGGTAGTTAGGGTGCCGTGCGGCCAGTACAGCTCACACAAGCAAACAGCTGATAAACTGGCCGCATGGAGGAAATGTGTATGTGTGACTGTCTGCCTGTGACTGTGTGTGACTGTCTGCCTGTAACTGAGTGTGTGACTGTCTGTCTGTAACTGAGTGTGTGACTGTCTGCCTGTAAATGTGTGTGTGGGGCTGCAGGGATTTTGTAGAAGGGGGCGGGGGTTTTGTATTGGGACAGGAGTCTTTATAAGGGGGGATAAGCAGGGGATTTGTGGAAGGGGGTTGCGGGGGTTTTGTAGACGGGCAGTACAGGATTTGTAGAAGGGGCAGGACAGAGGTTTTGTAGGAGGGGCGGGGCAGGACAAGGGTTTTGTAGGAGGGGCTGACAGCGGTTTTGCAAAGTTTACAAATTGTAAAAAAAAAGAAAGAAAACCTTTAACATTTTTTACAGTTTTTTGGGGGGGTGAGGGGGGGTTCCAAGCACATGCCAAATGCTCTAGGTACGCCCCTGCCACTGCTGTTTGACTATACTGATTATTCTCTGTAGTTATTTTAGATGGAAATCATAATTTCTCTGGATATTGTAGGTTATGCTAGCTTTAGTGTACTTGTAATATTAATTTTATTAAAGGGACATTATATGCACCCAAACCACTTTATCTCATTGAAGTGGTCTTGGTGCAGTATCCCCGTCCCCTTAACCCTGCAATGTAAAACAATGTAATGCTTTACATTAAGACGTCATTCAAAGCATGATTTATGTGGAAAATAGATCCCCCCTAGCACTAACGTCAGAGGAGATGGAGACCGACCTCAGCGCTGGAAAAAGGTAAGTGAATTAAGGGTTTTTAACCCCCTTCTCAGTTTTATATTCCTAACACTATAGTGCTCCTTTAATAACATGAGATTAATATTTTACTTTACTTTCTTTTTTTAAATCGAAAGCAGCAAAGAAACAGATCAGAACCTAACAGGCAATGAAAAGAGTAGTCGGGGGTAATAAAAGACACCGACAGCAAAGCCACCTCCCCTTTCTCGATACAAAAATATAAGTACAATGGCAAAGCTTAATAAACAGACAATAAGTAACTAGAAATGGCAGGAACCGTAGAAGTGGCAGAAGTATTGAAGTCCGTTCAAGAACTTCATAGGACAATCCGCTTCTCGAAATCAGACTGAAAGACGAGAAAACATTCGAAAGTTATCTCAAAGTGAACAGTGGATGCATAATATCCAAATCTAGAAATCAACATTGTCAAAGGAAAAAAAAAATGTGTCTAATATGTACAATAACAACAATAAGAAGTAGAGTAAAATCTAAAGAGAACAAAACATTACAGGGAGGGAAAATATTCGCCTACAGTCATTAATAACTCAGATTATATATGTGCTAAAACGAAATCTACAATTTCTGGTGGATTGTAAAGTTAAGTTATAACGCTCAGAAAAAAAAAGAAAAGAGGCATAGAAGAAGGTCTAAAGTTAAAGACACAAAAATATCCTCCTTCATCCAAACCATCGAACCAAGATGTCAAACAGGGAAGCACAGAAAGAAAAGATTGCAGTAGCCGCCGCAACTGGAACTAAGTGAACTCCAAAAGTGATATCTACGTCCACAAGGGAGAAGCCAACATACCCATGAAGCCAACGTGGATGTTGTGCAAGAGTATGGCAGGAACGTTGACTCCTGGCGAAGAGATCGAGACAGAAGAAGATGTGAGAGCCTGAGGTCCAGGTAAGTTAAACTCACCTTTGCCAGCTCCCCCTTGACCACTGGACCCCCCCCCCCTCGGCAATAATGTCATTATTGGGGGTCTTTTCAAATTATACAAAGTCCCCATTCGGTGACAGTGTCACTTTCAGTAAAGAAAGTAAAGCCAAATGGTAAAAAAAAGCCACCCGTCATGTTATAAAATTACATTTGTGTCAACCTTTTTTTTTATCTGATGCTAAGATTTTTTCCCCAAATGATTATTAACGGCTATTCCATGATGGGCCCACATGTAGTGAAATTCGGCCGCCTGGCGGGGGAAAGAGACTGGAGAAAACCTGGAGGTGCTCTATCTTGCAGCCCCGCCGGGTTCCTCTCCATACATCTGCATACATCCTTTTCCTGTCATTAACCCCTTAAGGACCAAACTTCTGGAATAAAAGGGAATCATGACATGTCAAACATGTCATGTGCCCTTAAGGGGTTAAAGCTCTCCAGAAAATCTATTTATTTTCTGCACGTGTTTCAGCTTATCTGCTCCTTATCTGCATGTTCTCTAGACATCATACCTCTTTCTTGAAAGCTCTCCAGAAAAGCTGTCCTTTTCCCTTACATGTTACAGAAAATTAGCCTTTACTTGTAAACATCTTACCTTGTTCTACCATTTTCTACAGACAATCAACCCATTCCTGCGTTGACTTTTGTTTTTTAGGAACTTGGGTTGGCTGATATTATTCACTTAAAGGACCACTATAGTGCCAGGAAAACAAACTTGCCCCCACCCTCAGGGTCCCCCTCCCGCCGGGCTGAAGGGGGTTAAATACTCACCTTTCCACATGCGCGGCAAGAGCATTTAGCCAGTCCATAGGAAAGCATTCTCAATGCTTTCCTATGGACGCTGGCGTCTTCTCACTGTGAAAATCACAGTGAGAAGCGCGGAAGCGCCTCTAGTGGCTGTCAATTAGACAGCCACTAGAGGCTGGATTAACCCATTTGTAAACATAGAAGTTTCTCTGAAACTGCTATGTTTACAGCAGGTAGGGTTAATCCTAGATGGACCTGGCACCCAGACCACTTCATTAAGCTGAAGTGGTGTGGGTGCCTATAGTGGTCCTTTAAATGATGGAAGCAGGCATCCCACAAATGAATGTGGGGTTGTTTTTGAGATCTAATCTAAAGGGAAACTATCGGCTATGAATACAAAGTTGTATCCCTAGCACTATAGTGCCCTACAGTGCTCCCTCACTCAAGCGCCCCCGCCACGCAGCATAGAAACCCTTCTCACATTACATCATAGTTGATGTTTCATGGCCATCAGTAAGCCATAGTTGATTGTTGCAACATTCAGCTCCAAAGGAACCCAAATGGGTTAAGATAAAATGTAATCTTGCTTGCTTTTGTGTGTTGCACACATCTAGTCATTTAAGAGGAAATTGCTCAATTATTATTATTATAATGATAATAATGACGATGAAAATGATTATTACCATGTTTTACAGGAGCAATGCTTTTGGCAAAACACACATAAAACAGCTACAAAATAACAAATAAAACAGATCCCAGTGCAGGAGGTGATTTCACACTCGATAAGCTGGAAATTAAACCTTGCATAAATATCTAGAATAGTCAGCAGTAAAACAGAGAATTAAATTCTTCACCTGCAGGTTACCTTGCACTTAAAGGGAATGTCAACCCTATTCTATTTTCAGGTGACTGTGCAAATCAAAACCTTCACAAAACAGTGGATGGAAACATTGTTTAATTCACCTATAGACGTGTTAATTGAGCCTTTTCTAACAGGCTACAATGCCCTTTGGCAACAAAGACATCAGTAATGCTGAACTTCGCCATTGGTGGAATTGAATTGAAAAAGCATTTCTGTGTACATGCATGCGTCGTTCATTGAGCATTGAAGACATTTTGTTATGTATAGACAGTGGAGCTAATTATATTGCATAGTGCAGGCATCAGCAACCTTTGGCACTCCAGATGTCTTGGACTACACCTCCCATGATGCTTTACCAGCATTATGGGTGTAAGTGCATTATGGTGGATGTAGTCCACAACATCTGGAGTGCCAGAGGTTGCTTATCCCTGGCATAGTGCATTTAGTTTGAGCCCCATTGCAGTTGAATTTAGGGTGAATTCTGTTTCTGCAAAGCACCATGTGGATGTTTAAAGGGACACTACAGACCCCCAAAGCACTTTAGCTTGCTGAAAAGCTTTATGTGTGAAGAGTGAGTCTTCTTTTTTTTTCATTTTGCAAAAAGTGCAGATTTCAATAGAAATTTACACTTTTATAAATTAACCTGGTTACAACCCCCTGGCTTTCAAGCAGACAACTGTTCCTGTTACTTCCTGGTTGGTTAGCGTTGTGGAGCTAAACTCAAGATACAGCAATTGCCCAGAACACCTGCCTTGCAAAATGAGCTGCATTAGGAAGTCTGTGATTGGACAGCCACAAAAAGTCTAGGCGGGGTTAGAAGGGGAGGGTTTGCAAAGGTAGCAGACAAGAGAATTGAAGCTTTTGCAAGCTGCTTTTATATATACCCCTCTAATCTCCTGCTCTACTAATAGCCTGCTAGAGCCTGCAGGAGCATACTGTGTGATTTCAATTTACAGAGCAGGAAATAAAACGTATGAAGTAAGTTTGAGAAATGATTGAAAATGAAACCATTTTTTTTCATGTGGATCACAACCATGGTGGGTGGCTAGGGCTGCATAAACAGAAGTGATTAAGCAGAAAAGTTGTTTGAGTGCCGCAGCCTACAGTATCCCTTCGAACCCTGCAATGTGAACATCGCTGTCACTGCAAAACAGCATTGTTTTCACTTGCTTAATTAAAACAGGGACATGGCACACAGACCACTTAATTTAGCTTCATTTAGGGTGCCTATAGCGTCTCTTTAATAAAAAGATATAATGCATAAATATAGATTTACATTTTTATTACTGCTCCTCCGCTATTTACCTCTATTGGTCCCTTTCTTTCACTTCATCTTTGAGCCAAAAGGCAGGAAAATGCAAGATATATACATAATATTTATATTTATATTTGATATTCGCTCCCTTTTGGTCCAAATGAATCGTTTTCCTAAATATGTTTTTGGAACAATATTTAGACGAGCTGAACAGTCAACTGAACAAATGTTGGACGTCCTAAACTAAATTCAATTTTCGGGAAAAGTGGTTCAACCGAACCAAGCTTATCCACGGCGCACACATGTCTACTTACATCTCTTATTATTAATAGATTTACAGCACCAACATATTCTGCATTGCTTTACATTTATAGAATGGAAATATGTGACAAGTAGTTCACATACAGAATATAACAGAGGCAAAAGTGAGGCTTCCTCTGCCATCCCAAGGAGTATGAGCTGCAGCCCATCGTTATTACACACGCTACATCTAATCTGCAGTCAATGGCAGCACAGCCCCCCACGTGCCACTTATATCCCTCCCCCTCCCCCCTCCCACCCCCCCTTTAGCTGTGCTCCCTGACATACATAATGGCAGGTGAGTTTTACTTCTTTTGGTGAGGGAGGAGGGGACAGGATAGGAATGCTTACTCTAACAACACAGTGTTTTCATACAGCACTGTTTTTTGGTTGGGTTAACTCTTAAAGGGACACTATAGGTACCCAATCCATTTCAGCTCATTGAAGTGGTCTTGGTGCATATTCCCAAGTCCCTTAACCCAGCAAAGGTAATTTCAGCAGTGGAGGAGCCTCATGTGTAAGGCGGACCCAAGCCAGCGCTGAGGTTTTTTTTTTTAAACCGCTTCTGCACCATTGGGAGGAAGGGGGCACTATTTTGTTTTCCTGGCACTATAGTTGCCCTTTAATCACTATCCATAATTGTAGTGAATTTGCAAGGCAATTGCATATTTTATGCCAAAATAGAGGAGCTTTTCTAATTCTGCAGTTTTTTCCTAAAATATGCAAATCCCTTGTCAATCCCAAATCCCACGTCAATAAATAAACCCCAGTGTAGCTCTTCTGAGCACGAAAATGTATAAACTTGCACTGCATTTAAAATCCTTTGCAAAATATAATTATTATTTACTCTACCCTACCTATTAATAAATTGAACTTTTTTTTTTTTTACTGGCATTTTATTTTACCTTGAAGTCTGCATGAGTTTTACATTAAAAATCTGTGCACGAAAGTGGTTCTTTTCACATCTTCCATTTTCTGGTGGGAGATTTTCTATCTGCGTTAAAACCCTTTGAATGCCTGACTACTTTTAGGAACATTTTTAAAGGGCCACTCTAATCAAAAATAAGAGTTTTCAGAAAACAATTGTTTTGGTTTGAGTAACCCTTTTGGACAGTCTGTCCCCCCCCAAAACCTAAAAAAATAAGATGAAACTTACCGACTTCAAGTTCTTCCTGCAGTCTGATCCCCTCGGCTAATGTCACTCCACTTTGCAAGAGGGAAGGACAGGGGTGGGGGCATGTTCCTTTGGCTGCCTGGTTTCAGCATTCTGTCCATGCTGGCTTCAAATGACAATTAATTTTGCACAGAACTGACATTAGCCAGGCCTGAACTTTGGCTAATGACGCTACTGGAGGTAGAGTACACCTTCAGCAGCTATGGGGTTAATCTCTTAATGTACAGAGTTTCAAAGCGAAACACAGCACATGCGGACTTCAGGCACCATGTCCACTTCATATCAATGAACCCTTCATATCAATAACCCTTTAAAGCTGATTATTTACATAGAGTATATTTACTAAACTGGGAATTGTGCAGGACAATATTTCTGCTCTTAAATAATCCTACTTGTAACGGATCGCCTGGCACCCCGACTGGGTACCTCCGTTGAAGGATGCTCCTAGCGCTTCCTGAGGACTCCAAGCACTCTGGCAGACACCACAATCACCGAACCGGAGAAACAAATAAAGTCTTCCAAGCATATGAATGCTGTAGACAGTTCAATAGGAACCATACGAATAGGTTTACTCTCCTAGCAAAGGATGACACCTTTGGCTCCCTGGGATACACACTGCTGCTGGGGAGGAAGGACAGCACCTTCTGCTCCCTGAGATACCCACTGCCGCTGGGGAGGGCACCTTCTGCTTCCTGGGACACACACTGCCGCTGGGGAGGAAGGACAGCACCTTCTGCTCCCTGGGGTACACACTGCCGCTGGGGAGGAAGGACGACACCTTCAGCTCCCTGGGATACACACTGCTGCTGGGGAGGAAGGACAGCACCTTCTGCTCCCTGGGGTACACACTGCTGCTGGGGAGGAAGGACGACACCTTCAGCTCCCTGGGATACATACTGCCGCTGGGGAGGAAGGATAACACCTTCCGCTCCCTGGGACACACACTGCCGCTGTGGAGGAAGGACGACATCTTCAGCTCCCTGGGGTACACCTTTGAGTCCCCGTAACGCACTCTGCCACCGGATAGGGCGGCCGATACCTTTGGATGGATCTGCCATGAACTGCAGGTACTCTGCTGTTAATTTCCTCACGAACTGTACGTATTCCTCAGCGGGGTTGGGTCCAAAGAAAGCCAACTGCATGGCAACCTCTCTGTCAAACCGCTCCTGAGTGTAGCCAGGCGCCATGCTTTCTCTGCCGCCGTTGGTTCCTTTGTAGATAGGGGCGCTGTACGGATACTAGCATTGCCCTCACTTTGTAACTCCAAACGAACTGTGTCTCTGAGCTGCTTTACCTCGCACTAGGACACCATCCCACCGCTTGCCACCAATGTAACGGATCGCCTGGCACCCCGACTGGGTTTCATACAATGAATCCTTCCCCCAATAATGAGACGACACTTCACTTTGAGGGTTAAAACAGGAGCTCTTGTGCTGGCACACCCAGCCTGGTTTTTATTACAGCCTTTCACATACAGGACCGCCCACAGGGAGGTATAAAACAACCAATCACATATCAGTTACATCCCACATATTCCCTCCCCTTATCCTGAGAGGAAACTCAATTATACATACAGTTAAAACTTTCTACCCAACTTTCATAACTTTAAAACCATACATCACATTCACATAAAATTACATATTCACAATCAATCCATTCAGGGGAACAACATATTAAAAAATGGCATGAATCCGACCAGAGGTTCAAAAGTTAGTAAAAGTATCTTTTGGGCCCTGGCTGGCACATGGCTATCAAACAGGTTTTACAGAGCCCTCTATCCTGGAGACATTGGGGAAAGTAATCCAATTATCCAGGGATAGAGGCAGACTCCATTGAGCACATGGTTGCAAAAGGACATAAAACACTTTAAAATACATAAAGTCACCTTTTACACATAACACACAGACATTTCACATATCCCCAGATAGCTGGGATCTGAGCGCACAAAACTACCGAATAGCGCTCAGATCCTATTCACACAGTTCAATTGCCATAGAGCCGAAGTCTTTAACTACACGAATGGGCTCCATGGCATAGCTATCTTGGTTAACACATTCACATAAAGTCTGCTCCATAGTCCAAAGGCAAGAGGCGGGCAAGCAGCCCCCTCCAAGGACACGTGGCGAGGCCGGTTTCACCACACTAGTGCTGGGAGAATTTTTACATTTATTTATGGCGTAGAGTTTGGGCCTCCTTGACAAATCTCCACAATGCTAAATTCCGTACATAAAACCCACCTATATCACTGATGAAAATACAACTGAAAATAAAGATATCAAAAGGCAGCTTTAAGTCAGCCTTCAAGGAATTTACTACCTGCTAAGTCTATAAAATCTTCGAGTTTTATCAGGTGAGTTAGGTTCAAGACCAGTTGCTAAGCAGTTCGGGAATTGAAATGCGAGCAGTAAAACATTATCATTGATGGTTATAACATCAAAGGGTCCCTATTTTGGGCTTAAGTCCATATCACTCTCTTTTCTTTTCTAAAGTCTCTATAGGTCCAATTTTTGATTTAGGGGTATATAATTATTAAGGCTATTTACCGCACACAAGCAATGCCATCTCGCATCAACAGAATCGAAGATGCTGGTTGCTCCCTTTCTTCCTCGATGTCTAATGATGTTGGCTTACAGTAAAGTGAACCAAATAACAGGTGAGTGAGATAAAAAAAGTGCTAAAGTGTGCAGGCAAGCCACTGAAAATTGAAGTTCTCCCTAAATCTCTCTAAAAGACAAGTGCTAAAGACTGTATATAACCCAAGTTAAAATACAGCACAGGGCGCCACAATAGATATAGTTACCATAATGATGAGAAAAGCATAAAACTCACACGGAAAAACTCTGGCAGACTACCACTAGAGGTGGACTTAACCCTGCAGACAAGGGCACTTCACCCAGACCACTTTAATGATAAGGGGTCTGAGTGCCTATAGTGTCCCTTTAATGGAATACTACGAGCACCATAACCACGACAGTGCCTTGACACCTTCTCATCATAAATAGTCAAAAAATTGGAATGGTTTGACTTTTCTTGGGGTCCGTTGAGCACTACCCACCTTCTCACCTTCAAATCCAGAGAGCAGGGGCTTCCATTCACCTTCCTGAGCTCTCAGCCAATGAGCTAAGCCCTGAACTGCATGGCTTGTATAGCTCAGGATAACTATCAGAAGTTCTTTCTTGGGAGCTTCTGGACCTTCTGAGATAGTAGTGAAGGTAGGGAGTGGCGGAGCTGTGTCTGGTGGACCATAGGTAAAAAGTCAAACCGCTTGCTGTAGTGGTTATGGTACTTGGAGTGTTCCTTTACATAATACTTTATAATCAGTAAATACATACTTTAAGTGATTTTTGTTTATGGATTACATTTCATTGCTGCCTACCTCTGTATTTGTTGTCCTGAACATCACATCCATTTTCTTTTTTTTTTCTTTTTTTTTTCTTTTTTTTGTCAATCTTTATTTTTGCGGTGCTTAGATATACAAACAGGCTTGTGTTGCCACAACAGCAGGCACAAGTGAATGCAAACATACTGGTGAAACAGTATCGTGACATGCAATAACAGCACAAGTTTTGTCAGGGAAAATAAATTCAAGTTTTATCATGAGTTAAGCCATCATGTCTGCTTCAAGATAGGGCATTCCAGGGAACATAGCAGGTTAAACGCAGTGACCTTTAAAGAGATTATGAGAGTACAATCTTAACTGCAACATTGCTCATGTATAAGGGGTAAAGATTAGTAAAATGAGGAACATGTATATTTTTGCAATCTAAACAGGCATGGGTAGTCATGTCAGTGCAGAGTGATCATAAAGCATAGTGTTACACAGGCTATGCGACCTGACATCAGGCTAAGATATTTTAGTCTACGTTAACTGACTGGATGCTTATTACTAGGGATTATTGTCTGCCGGGAGTTAATGTATTGCTTAGTGGGGCATGTATTGGGTACCTCTTAACCAGGGGGATCTGCCTATATTTAGAGACTAGTTTAGCCCACACCTATTGTATCATGCGCTGTGCCCTGGTAGCTATGGTCCTCTGGGCCTAGACTAGCTGCAATCCCCCTACTTTTATGCAACATACAGTCCATGGTGCTTGTAGCAGTCGGGCTCTGTGTGGACGTGCAAAATTTGATGGGAAAGGCGGTAAGGCAGCCTCCAGGGATGGTTCTCCTCCAGCCCTGGGCTTTATTAGGGGCCGGCATGGACACGGGTGCTCTGGGAGTCCCAGTCCTTCCTGCGACGGGGAGTGTGTGAGGTCCTGACGGTCTTCCTGTTCCGTTTGGCGGTACTCCGCTTGCGTGGATGGTGTTTCAGGGTCAGGTCCTTGTTGGCCCTCTGCCCAGGAGGGCATACTGTGGGTGTTGTAGGCATGTGCTGGTCGATGGTGCCCAGAGGGTGTTCTCCCTGCTCCGTCCTCCCATCCTTCCTTGCTGTCTCCGCAGGTAGGGAGGTGGGGATTGCCATGCGCTCCTGCAGAATTTTTCAAAGATTGCCTCTAACGAGGTCAGTGTGCAGCCACTGTGGTCAGGAGGATTAGTGTAGTGCTGTGGCAGGTCTCGGGTTTTAGGCCCATGTGCGTCCGCCATATTAGATTTAGCAGAGTTGCCTCTCAGACTTGTATAGCGCTCTTTGCCCAGAGGGATTCCGGGTTGCAGGCCAGCGGGGACCAGGATGACCCCCACCGGTCCAAAGGGGGGGTGGAGGTAGGAGCATAGTGGGTCCACTGGATGTACTAGTTGGCTGGGAAGTCAGCCGCCCTTCTCCCGCCTAGCTGTCTGCAGACCTCAACGTGTTGCCGCAGCTTTCGGTACCATGAAATCCTGGAAGAGGTATCTGACGTTTTGTCACTACTTTCTGGGTTTATCTAGCATAGTGTGGCGTCTGTTGCTTTAGTATTACTGGGGTTTTCCCCAAAAAATCAGTATGCTGAGCGGGAGCTAGTACAGCACGCATCCAATCAGCTCAGAGAACTAATTTTTATCACTTTTGCTGTCTCCTCTCCTAACCCCTGCCTAGTATGGCGCTATCTGTGTCTCATTGCTTTGTGCTCCTCTTAAAGAGCGATACACATAATGTTATTTACTCACATTTACTATATGCATGCAGCGTTTGTTCTGTGGATGCCTGCAGTGACCAATTTATGTGAGCTTGTGGAAATGGCTTGGTTTAGGCTGCAACATCTAATTTATGCACACATATTTACGTCAGTAACTAAATTAATGTGTAGATGGTTATGTGGCTACAATTTTGTTTATTGAAGGATGTAATTAGGCCCATCAAAACCTCTTATTGCCTTCATCTGAGGAATAATTTTAATTTAATTTTAACACTGTTAAGGTTGGGGCCATACTTTTGCATATCTACCCCAGGTAAGAAGTCAAACTATTAATAAAATAAGCTAACTGTATGGGTTATGGTGCTTGCAGTGTTATTATATATATATATATATATATATATATACACACACACACATACACCTATTAATAAGCCAGTCCCCATTGTGCTGCCAAAACAGCTTTGATGTGACGATGCATGGACTCTGAATGTGTCGTGTGTATCTGGCATCATGACATTAACAGCAGATCCTTTAGGTCCTGCAAGTTGCGAGGTTGGGGCCTCCATGGATTGGGTTTGTTGTTTGAGAACATCCCATAGATACTCAACTCGATCGAGATCTGGGGAATTTGGAGGCCAAGGCAACACCTTGAACTCTTTGTCATGCTTCTCAAACTATTCCTGAATAGAGATGTCGCGAACTGTCCGCCGAACTGTTCGCGAACTCTCCGCTGGCGAACAATAGCGTGTTCGCGTTGGGCGAACATATCCGATTTCCGGTCCGCCCCCTATACGTCATCATTGAGTAAACTTTGACCCGGAACCTCACAGTCAGCAGACACTTCCTGGTAGGGAGGGTCTGCTGCTGATTGGGTGGAATGTGTCTGCTGGCTGTGAGGTTCCGGGTCAAAGTTTACTCAATGATGACGTATAGGGGGCGGACCGGACATCGGATATGTTCGCCCAACGCGAACACGCTATTGTTCGCCGGCGGACAGTTCGCGAACAGTTCGGCGGACAGTTCGCGACATATCTATTCCTGAATATTTTTTGCAGTGTGGCTGGATGCATTATCCTGCTGAAGGAGGTCACTGCCATCAGAGAACACCATTGCCATGAAGGAGTATAAGTAGCAATGTGAGCTGTAATTAGATCAGACGTGTTATCCTTTACTCCCCACCTACTTTTGGTAGGTAATAACCCCTACATACCAGGAACACACAACAAAACTTGCCGTTTTGGAAAAGCTCTGACCCGGTCATCTAGCCGTCACTATTTGACCATTGTCAAAGTCATTCAGGTCTTTTTAGCTTGTCCATTTTTCCTGCATAGGCTCTGGTTGCTATGGGTAAAGAACAGAGGGACTTACTGTGGGAGTTCTTTTCTATTTCCCCTTTTCAGACAAGGCTTCAGGACATTGAGGCAATGACTGGCAGCTGGGAAAAAATTTTTTCTCCTAATCTATACATTTGCCAGCAAAACTGCTAGTACAATGTATAGATAAAATTGTATGCTCAATCAAATGAGCATAAGTTATTTAGGGCATGAAAGGTGCTCTTTAAGAAAACATTCAAAGCACCATAACCAATACGGCATACTGTAGTAGTTATGGTGCTAGGAGTGTCCTGGTGCTAGGAGTTTAACTTGTTTAAGACTTATGCAATTTTTAAGATTAAATGTAAGGCTGGGCCATGTATGTGGTTGTGTCACATATGGCGTGTGTTTGGTTAAAAGCATTGTTCAAATAGATATTTGTATGTATTTGGATAAATGTATGGTTTTATGTCAGTGTGTTGTTGTTGTTGTTTTTTTGGGGGGAGGGTTATCTGTCGAAGTTTACCATCATATCACCTATAACTTTGATGGTTTTAATGAGCTGGATTTCCAATGCATAAGATTTTCTTTGAGTTTAAATGTGACAGATTCATTTGGATTTTCTTGTCTGACACCCATGTGCCCTGTTTCTTCCCATTTACACGTCAGATTTTAGAGAATTAGTAGCTGTTTTGAATAATTCAAGGATTATGTGTCAGAAAAATATTGGGTGAAATTTTAACATGTTTCTTCCTTTGGGATTGTTGGCGTCATGCACATTTTTTAAAGCAATGGTTTTGCATGAATGCAAAACCCAAATAATTAATCAGTCCTCCTTAAAGTTAAATCCGGAATTTCCACAATTTATGTACTTTGTCTCTTTTTATTGATTGTTTAAATGGAGTGTTTTTCAAATATTGTGGAATAAATAGTACAGAATATTTATAGTAATCCTGGTGCACTTATCATCTTCATTTTAAGACAAACCACCATGGTGGCTTTGCAAAGCTTCCTGTTTCGTTAGCAGTGAACTTTTTCTTTCTTTCAATTGGTTGTACAGTTCAACCAATGAAAATACAGAAAAAAAGATAATTGGCCAGAAACCGCACATGAAAATAAAGGCCTAATGTCTTCTCTTGCTATCTCTTTATTCTCCTGTGTCTCTATAAAATCTAATCTGTAGACAATGTACTGCAATATCTCTATATATAATCATCTCAGTCCGACAAAAAATGTGCCCACTTTTATTAATGCAAATTGTCACAGTAAATAATCAGGACAGCTAAACTGTATTACAATTTTTTTTGTACCGCTGAAAAATCATCTTGCAAATCCAAACCTTACAACTTTCTTTTGGTTTTTCTCAACTCAACTCAACAATCACCAGTTTGAGTTATAATAAAAATAAAATTAAAAAAATGGTGCACAAAGTTTTTGATTCACCGAGAATAAATACAGATATTATTTGGACGTGTATTGGCATACTGCCTGAACATTTGGAATACTTTAGGGTTACTTTAAACCCTTGGAGCGGGGTGCCCATAGTGTCCATAGTGCCCAGTAGTTCTATTGTTTTAAAATCTGCAAAATAAAACTTTCTTTTTACTCATCTGGAATCCAGCGCCTCACAAAGCCTCCTGACGTCAATGGGGCCACTAGAGGTCCAATCACAGGCTTCTGAGAAATCTGTGATTGGACCAATTGGCAGGGGAGGGAGGCGAAGAAAGGAAGTGTGGAGGAGAAGGAAGGGAGGGTTTAAAAAAAAAAAAAACTGCTGGCAATGGAGGGAGGCCCACAGAGAAGATTTTAACATCTAACGACAAAGTGCATTGTGCACTAATTTGGGGGGGGGGGAGGTACAAATAAGCAGTTTTGTTTGTCATGATGGACCATAGGTGGACCTGACAGCATGGGCCACCCAATGGACCTCTTGGACGGCGGCCCCGGCGGTTTGCCACGCGGGCCGGGGCCGCAAATGATGATGGCGGGCACCCGATCGCAGGGGTCTGCATGGCGGCCGGGTCCCCTGGAGTGATGGGCCCAGTCACAGCTGCAACCCCTGCGACCATGGTATGTATGCCAGTGCTATAGGGTCATGAATACATGTTTGTGTTCCTGACCCCATAGCGTTCCTTTAAAACACAGGGAGGCAATTTATATAAGAGAGGAAGAAATACTGTGAATAGTCCCTGGGGTAGGAAACCTTTGGTGCTCCAGATATTGTGGACTACATCTCCCATAATGCTCTTTGGGCCATAATACTGGTAAAGCATCAGGGGAAATGTAGTTCACATCTGGAGTGTCGAAGGTTGCCTACCCTGGTAGAGAGTGAAAGGCTTAAATGTGATATAAGGAAGAATGATTTCACTGAAATGGGTGGTGGATGTATGGAATCATCTCCCAGCACATGTGGTAGAGGTTATTACATGAAAGTTCCTCAGTTGGATGAGAAGGTCAAGGTATTCTTCTGGTAGCATCACTACACTGGGTATTGTGGTGAATTGACAAAAAAAGGACAATTTAGGCCCTAAAACTGATTTGGAGAATGTTTCCAGTTGGCTGTTTGGCTTCTAATCTAAAATTCCTGGTCAATTCTCAACAATCCTTAGTTGAGTGAATAATCAGGTGTCAGTGCCTCCTTCAACTTGGCTACTAGACTTGGATACAAGTGGCTGAATGTGCGGAGGCATACCTCCAAATAACATAGTATGGTTGATGCATGCAGCTTTTCACTCCAGGGCTGGGAGTGTACAGATTGGTATTATAATTAAAATAGCTGTATTATTTTATATTCTTAATTGTTGTGTGAATCATATGATAAGTAATGTATTTAAGCTTAGGTACAATCGTATAAACAAGATTGGTATTTTACAATATAATAAATAATGAGAACAATGGATTGAATCATTTGAGGCATATGACTGGAACAATAGCATAATCGCGCAACTACAATTATTTATATGACACCAACATATTGCACAGAGCTGCACAAAAGGTAAACAAGACAAACACTTAAAGTTGCACTGTCATGGCTGCCTCTGTTTTTTTTTAACCCCCCCTCCCGACTCCACTACATCTAATAGTCCCCGTAGTCACCCCTAGGTGCCCCATTTTACTCTTTTTTTTACCTGTTGATTTCTTGTCTGGACCTAGATCCTAGGCGCCGCCATCTTTGTTTGGGCAGATAAAGGCCCTGTGGGACATGTCATCTGCCCACACTAGATAACCCAGTGAAATTCTTGCGCATGCCCAGTTTAGCACTTCGGCATTCGCTTTTGTCCGAAATTCCTAATATCTCCCTCCCCCGGCCCCCACCCATGAGCGGCAGGTGGAGGCCCTAAGTGAAAAATGCCGGGACGTATTGTGCCCCCATGTCCTTTTAATGAATTGAGTTTGGTCGAGCAAAAGATTATTATTATTTTTTTAATTAATTAGACTTAACTGAATGTTTCACAAGTCTGTCTGCTGTGCTATTATTTGAAATGATAAGAACATAGTAGTGAAGAAGAGTTAAAATGTACATTTTATTTTCTAGAACATCTCTTGTCTCGTTAGAATCCCTGAATGTAATTAAAGAATTATTTTCATAGTCTTCCTGTTAGACATATTGTCATGTTGTTGGCACATTAATAATTTTTTAATCCTTTGACTTTATTCTCTCACTTTCTTTTTTAAAGGTCGGATGTAGTTGCAAATGTAGCACTGGGTGTCTGGGGATTGTCTCTTTCTATAGCAATCAACGTAGAGACTGCAACACATAAAAATTTGTCTATACATCCCTTTTAGTACAAACCGTTAATTGCCCATTCCATGAGACCTTCAGGGTTATTCTCTAATCTCTGAATTGTCAGAAATTCACCAAAGGACTGTACTTTTTTTGTCCAATTAAATTCTTATTGAGCGAATCAATACACAGAGACATATGAGCAATAGTTAGTAATGTCGACTATATACGAAGAACAAATCAGCGATGTTCTGATGTGTAAGAGACGAAAAGTATTGAGTTGCTTTTCATCATTACCATAAGAAATAAGAGAAAATAAAGAGAATAATGAACAAAATGTTACATAGCAACAATTAGAGAATGTTAGCAGAGCAGTCAATAGAAATGAGTCCTCTTGAGACTGCCTTTTACTAAAGAGAAGAAATGATACATTGGTAAATACATATATTAACGAGGCACTGCCTTTATATTTAAGTGGTGCAAATAGACAGTGCTTCTGGGAGGTGGCTCAGCAATCCTAAAATGGGGGAAGGGAAAAGGATTCTTAAACACCAGCTGAAAAGGTAATCTTAAACAGCTGCTGATTCTGGCCAAAGGAATTGCAAATTTAAGGCCCAAATACATGGAACCATATGCAACATTTTACCTTTCTTATATTTTGAGTTAAAACTCACACTTCCCTGGTGAATTCCCTACAACTTGGGTTTATTGAATTACCCGGATAATCTAATTAGAGAATTTGTCAGATGCTGAAGGACATTAGGTTAGTGCTTTTGTCTTAACAAGTATCCACTGTTACCCCATCGCGCTCAATTTCAACATGATGTCTATCTGTAAATCCACAATGGGTCAGGTTTGTTCCCAGCTGGGCATCATGGGAAATTTAAACCATAAACATCTATAGTGCTATGATTGTTTGCCATTACATATTAATTACACAGTTTAGTGCTATTGATCATACCTACCTGTGTGTTTGTGGTGACTGAGTAAAAATATCCTGAATTGTATCAATAGTTATTACTTTTACACAATCACAAGGTTGTCTTGACACAGTTTATTAAAATGACCTATGATTTTACATATATATATATATAAATCTAATTATGTATACAGCTCTGCTCGCTCCCAGAATGCGCAGTGCTTCGTGGCATGATGTAAACAAAGAGTTAAGTGCTGGTAGTAGTGGGTTAAAGTGTGTCCTTAGATATTGTGTTATACAGTACATTTATTGACCTTGGTGAGTTATTTATTTATTTATTTTTCCATTTCGATTTGATCCTTTTTTTCGAGATGTGATTTTGCAGATTCTATCAGAAAACTGTGTCTTGCGTCAACTCGGCAGGAGATAAGGCTGTGAGTCAGCCTTGTGATGCTCTCAGCCAGGCCTTGTGTCTGACACTTATTTTTTGAAGCCGGACCTGTAGGTTTAAATAACTGTGGCTATTCCTTGTAACTATTTCAGTGCCTGCCTTCAGTGACCCTGCGTGCTGCCTTGTAGGTGTTGTGCATGCATGGTGATAGACGTTGTGTTTACAGCAGATTCGCATTTTTGGGATGTCAATGAGTTCATCTGCTCTGCCATAACAACTGGCTCGTGACTGAAACTCTATACCTCCCAAGTGTCCCTGTATAGAAAGAACAGCACCTGTTTAGGGCTGCAAATCCCTGAGTCCTTCTTTGTTGTCCAACTGTCCGTCTTTTCTAGGAGCTCCATATTTTTGGTGAAAGTATACCAGAGCTAATAGCAATAATGCTCCCAGTAATGTGTCTTTAAACTACAATAAATGTGTTTGGAAATCAGTCTGTGTAAATAAGATGAATTGATCTTGCTTACCTCCCAACTGTCCTGGTGTAGGCGGGAGAGTCACGATTTTTAAGTACTGTCCCACTGTCCCAACACCAGGGAAATGTCCCCAACATGCATAGTGTGAGCACATTATTAGACACGCTTGCACTATGTTCAGGGCACTGGGACCCTGCAGAGCAGCAGCGGAACTACTGCCAGTGTAACCGCACCAGGGCCCGCACGCTGAGGGGGCCCTTAGGGTGTCCCATGCACTTAGGGCCTCCTGATGCATTTTGCTAAACACCAGTATCACCAATGCTGGGAAGAAGTAAGTGCTGGTGGACACTTCTTCCCAGCTACAATGAGAGCATAGAACAGGAGGAAGTAAGAGGAGGAGGTGCGTCCGTGTAGTCACTGTGTGTATGTGTCAATGTGTATCTATGTGTGTCAGTGTGTATATGTGTCAATGAGTGTATATGTATTAATGTGTAAGTGTGTATGTTTGTATTTGAGTATGTGTGTATGTGTATGTGTGGCAGTATATGTGCATACATAAAAAAACAGAGAATATGAGAACTCTTAGAGCAGACAAAATCTTAGAGAAACTCAGTAGCTTGCCCTAAGATAAATCCCCGCTCGGGTCTCCAAAAGGATTTTGCTCACTTATACCACCACAGAATGAACCTATTCCATTGCATATCGGACTGATCCCACCAAAGGGACAGTCCAGAACCGAAATGGTGACAAGTTCGCTCTGCATGAGAGAAACAGCAACCACAGATGATTGGTTCAACCTTCTTTGGGCCTCATCAGTGAGGTGTAGCTGAATTACATTTTTAACGTGGGGAGAGCCAAGTTACTACTTTGCAACAAAAAACAGAGAAAATTAGAATAAGTGCATACATTTCAGCAATCAAACGTCAACACTACATGCAAACACACCCCTGCAATCAAACACAAACAACACATACAAACAAACACACAACATACAACAGTTACATACGATTGGAAAGCTTTTTATGCACAGACCCCCAGGACGATATATATGCAAGGGTTTCCCAAAAACATACCGAAATCTGTCATCTCATATGAACTAATAGATTTTTTGTGTAGCAAAAAGCAAATTCCATTTTAAATTGCAAGTTATTGATGGTGTTAGATTGAGACAACCGATGCCTTGTAATTTCAGGTTCAGACTAGTCCCCGTCACACAGTAGAGACTTAGAGCTAGGTCTCCAGGAATACAATTTACAGCCAGCATATTAATGCTGCAAACACATTACATAGTGTTTACTCTTTGTGGACTACAACGAAAACGGACCACCAGAGAAATCAAAGGAAGGAAAATGAGATACAACATGTCACACACCTAATATAATGACAGATCTCACATCTCACTGGTCCTGAATAGGTTAAACAGCTGGGTGGCAGGTAGCGCTCTCCGTATAGATCTCACTGGTCCTGAATAGGTTAAACAGCTGGGTGGCAGGTAGCGCTCTCCGTATAGATCTCACTGGTCCTGAATAGGTTAAACAGCTGGGTGGCAGGTAGCGCTCTCCATATAGGTCTATTTAAAGGGACTTTCCAACCACCATAACCCCCTTCTATTCTGCCTGAGTTCTCACCATGAATGTTTCCTAAGATATGATACAAATTATATTAACAGTTTCTCTCTTTTTGCCCATGGAGATAAAACTTAATTCTGTTGATTTCTTAAATTATACATTAAAGTCTGTTACTGATTGCTTGTGCAGTCATTTATAAATAATTATTTGGCATTCATGTGCTTTTGTATTTTCACAAAAAAATACATTGCTTTAGATTTTGTATTCATTTTTCATTTCTAGATTAATGCTTGACTTAATTATTGTGCACCCATACGGCTTCAATCGGTTTTGCAGAAGCTTATATTTCACAGAGAAATGCAAAACCAATATCTGTGTTTTTCAAATAACCAGCTGATCTGAGCTAAAAAAATAAATAAATATATATAGATGTATGTTTTTTTTTTTTAGCTCAGATCAGCTACTTATTTGAAAAACACAGATATTGGTTATTTGTGTTTCTGTGAGTTTGTGTGTGCATTTTTCTGAACATTTCTTCCAATGCAAGTAAACGAGTGGTTATCACACTATAAGGAAACCTACTTTTAATTGACACTTCTTCATTGGTTCGGCCACAGTCCCGGGTGCACTGTGTCCTGGTCAACATCCGACACCTCTGCCAGTATCTTTGACACTAGATATTGTAGCCCCATCCATTTTTAATGACCTCATGACATCATTGCCACAGCTACTCACATTTTGGGGACCTGACTATCAAGCAAACGTCCCAGGCCTATATACACCTGAGTTTAGCAGCTGTTCAATGCACGTTCATGGTCTCAGAGCCCTTAAGCGTGTTACTTAATCCTTGTTCATTAATATTCTGTTATTTGACCTGGCATCGTGATTAACACTGACATTTTCCAATATTTCCCTGTTTACCCGACCCTGACCACAATTACCTTGTTCCTGTTTTGTGTAGCAGACCCTTGCAACATTTGACCATGATTACCTTGTTCCTGTTTTGTGTATCAGTCCCCAGTTATGTTTAATCTTGATATTCTGCTGTTCCTGTACGCCTGTTCGTGACCTTAAATTCTAGTTATTCTGTATCAGCAGGTATTATTTCTCTTGATTTCATTATTCTCCTCCTGGTCTGAATAAGCCTATATTGGTCCTATTACTTCCCAATTCATGTTATGTGTTAAGTCTGGCCACTCTAAGGTCTGGTAATACACATTGCAATCTCTCCTTACTTTGCCTGTGTTAGCATCGTTGCCTTTTATCTTGCTAAGGGTTTTATCGTATTGTAACACACAATATTCCCAAAGATTTGAATTGTAGGGACTTCAAGGTGAGTTTAAAGGGATTTTCAGACAAAATGCATAGACTCGGACGGCAAATTCATTCGTGCACAGTTACTTGATTCCTCGAATGTCTACAAGGATTAAACATATTTGCGTGGATTGTGGCTGCTGTACCCATTGTAGACCATGGGGGTGGTGAACTACTTGGTTCCATCTTTGTGCCTTCCCTATGGTCGTATACTGTGTATGTGGCACTTTTCTTCTTCTGCATCAGTGACTACTTTGGAGCTTCTTTTATTGAGATTTTACGTGTGAGAGATATATTCTGGTTTAAGGCATTAATCTTCAGATATCTATGGTATTGTACTGTAATACACAAACTGTTTGGGTCCTTTTTCTGGAATTCTCTACTACGGTTATTTAAACTTACACGAAACTAACCGAGTGACTTTTTAGTTCAAACTGAATGCACAATATTGTGTATCATATATGTCATTTATCATCTGCAATATTTGATACTTTAATCCGCATTACAACTCTACTTAGAGGATCTATACAGTGTGTTGTTTATTTTTTGAGTATATTTGGTCTAATAAAACCAGTTTATATTTTTATTTAAGTATATTATAGTTAATATATAATTTAATATAAGTATATTCTTACTAGCACAAACCTTTATTGTATTTTTCCTGTCTAGACACCCTTTTTTGAGGTTAGCAGGTTTTTGTATACCATAGTTTTTTTTGTAAATATATTTTTATTGTCTTGTACTTTCACAGTGAGACTCGCAGGTCTCTTCAAGCATATTATAACTAAAGCACAACATGTGCCAGAACACGTATGAAAACAAGTAAGTATTCGGGCTCGCAGGCCCACTTCAATGATGGACTCGCAGGTCCCTGTTCAGCATTACGGTGGTTAGGTATCTATTGTTATTTTCGCGTGTTCCCCCTGGTTTGTTTGTTTGCTGCCTCCCACTTAGTGTCCCGTAGGACACCTAGGTCCTTTCTGTGTGCAGTCTCATCTCGTTTAGTGAGGGAGGTGATGGGTTAGTACTGTGTCGGCGATCCGTAAGTCACCGCAGGCTTCGTATGGTATATGTCTATTGGACTCATGAGTCCACTGCCAGGTGGTTAAGAATGTTATAGTTTCTTTGGGGTGTGGGCCTGCGGCCCAAGTGAGATTTGTGGGAAGGAGGGGTAAAGGGGGAGTATGCGGGCGGGGGGGAGGACAGAGGAGGGAGGGGTGGGAGGCTGCGGGTGGTGCGGGGGTGTATACCATAGTTTGACATGATTTGATATAATTTCATGTTGGATATATTCTAGAGTTTTTGAACTCTATATAAAGAGCCAATCTGACACATAAAGTAGAGCCATCCGTAAGAAAATTCCATTGGTTTCTTCAGTGATGGCCCCCCTTTTTCATTTTTTATCCATACCACAAACAGATTTCTTCCTGAAGCTTTATGGGATTCTCAATTCTTGGAAGTAATCGGTTGCTTTTATATATATATATATATATATATATATATATAATACACAAGATCCAGCGCACTCACCTATCCACTAAACAGCAACTTCAATGTTGAAAGATTTTTATTTTTTATTTTTTTTAAAACACCTAATCTAGGCAAAAATAATGGGGGTTTAGTTACATTATATGATCATACATTGCATAAGCCTGCCACAACGTCAATGTACCCCATCTTTGGCAGGTCCTACACTAACAGCCTAATGTCTGCTCTTATGAGATTAACCTATTTGGGGAAAGAAATTCCATCTGGGGCTCTCTGCAGTACAAGGCTAAATAGGGCCCTGGGATGAGGCACCTGTGACAGGGAGGGGTGCAAAACCAAGGAGCTGGCTAGACTGCCATATATATATATAAAACAAGAGGGGGTTGGCTGCACTCACCTTAACATGCATAAATGGGGGTGCTGCTGGGGGCCAAATAATACAATACACAAGATCCAGCGCACTCACCTATCCACTAAGTGGATTGTATTATTTGGCCCCCAGCAGCACCCCCATTTATGCATGTTAAGGTGAGTGCAGCCAACCCCCTCTTGTTTTATATATATATATATATATATATATATATTTTTTTTGTCAATCTTTGTTTTATTGAGACAGAATGATAAACACATGCATTGTACATAGCGTAAGTTGAGATATAACAGAATTGTGCAATCAGGGCAAGATAAAAAAATTCAAATGTAAAATGCCTCATTGAAAAAAAAAATGTCTTTGTGTGTGTCTGTGTGGATGTGTGGAATGTTTGGTAATGTGTAGTCGTGTTGTATGTGGGTACCGCTGGGGTGAGTGGTGTACTATGTCAATTGTTACTACGGTCCCGAAAGGTACCGGACCCTTTATGGTTGTTGCTTTTATATTTTTTAAGCATGCATAGATCTTACCTGATATTCCCCGATCTACAAATATACAGCAGTCAATTGAAAATATTATATCTTTATTGATTGCTTGCTTTGAAATACAGAATGCACAGTAACAGGCATGAAGCTCTTACGCGTTTTGTGCTGTTAATGATGTGCTCAGCGTGAAACGCGTAAGAGATTCATGCCCTCTATTGTCTTTTTCTTATTGTGCTTATTTGCAGATCGCTAATAGTAACTATTCTATTCTCATGCAATTACCAGGAATTCTAAGTGCCTTTAAAATTTTAGCCAACATTCCAGAATTGGAAGAGAAACAAAAATCAAATAAGCAGCGTTTTCAGTTTTACTACTCTGGCCGAAAATCTGAAATTCACTCTGAGTTCCTAACAATGCACACTTTAATATATTGACTGGTTAGAGCAGTCAATAGAACTCGCAAACCAAGGTTCGAATCCCTGTCAGGCCATCTTACCAGTAAGTGTCCCCAGAAAGACACCTAACAATATATACATAACCGCCTACCTCAAATCCTCTGTGGTTGTAAGCTCCTCGAGCAAGGCCCTTTTCAACTCTACCATTTTCTATAACTGTAAAGCGCTGCGGAATATGTTGGCGCTATTCTAAATGCTAATAGTAATAAAAACAAATGTTCCTATTTGACATATTAATAGCTACCAATAAACTCCTCAGCCTATTACTAGTGGCTTAATTTTGTAAAAGTCCCTAAAAATTAATCTTTTTACTTTTAAGAATCCATCCATTAAAGGACCACTATAGGCACCCAGACCACTTCAGCTCAATGAAGTGGTCTGGGTGCCAGGTCCCTCTAGGATTAAAGGACCACTATAGTGCCAGAAAAACATACTCGTTTTCCTGGCACTATAGTGCCCTGAGGTTGCCCCCACCCTCAGGGACCCCCTCCCGCCGGGCTGGATGGAGAGGAAGGGGTTAAACTTACCTCTTTCTCCAGCGCCGGGCGGGGAGCTCTCCTCCTCCTCTCCTCCCTCTTCTCCTCCTCTTCGGCTGAATGCGCATGCACGGCAGGAGCTGCGCACGCATTCAGCCAGTCTATAGGAAAGCATTCACAATGCTTTCCTATGGACGCTGGCGTCTTCTCACTTTGAAAATCACAGTGAGAAGCACGCAAGCGCCTCTAGCGGCTGTCAAGAGACAGCCACTAGAGGCTGGATTAACCCTAACAACAGGGTTAACCCTAGCTGGACCTGGCACCCAGACCACCTCATTAAGCTGAAGTGGTCTGGGTGCCTATAGTGGTCCTTTAAACCTGCCTGCTGTAAACATAGCAGTTTCAGAGAAACTGCTATGTTTACATATGGGTTAATCCAGCCCCTAGTGGCTGTCTCATTGACAGCCGCTAGAGGCGCTTCCATGCTTCTCACTGTGATTTTCTCAGTAAGAAGACACCAGCGTCCATAGGAAAGCATTGAGAATGCTTTCCTATGGACTGGCTGAATGCGTGCGCGGCTCTTGCCGCGCATGTGCATTCAGCCGATAACGACCGAAGGAGGAGGAGAGTCCCCAGCGCCGAGGGACAGTGAGAAGCGCAGAAGCTCTTCTAGTGGCTTTAAATGAGACAGCCACTAAAGGCTGGATTAACCCTATTGTAAACATAGCAGTTTCTCTGAAACTGCTATGTTTACAGCAGGCAGGGTTAAAGGACCACTATAGGCACCCAGACCACTTCAGCTTAATGAGGTGGTCTGGGTGCCAGGTCCAGCTAGGGTTAACCCTGTTGTTAGGGTTAATCCAGCCTCTAGTGGCTGTAGATAACTGGCACCCAGGCCACTTCATTGAGCTGAATTGACTGGGTGCCTATAGTGGTCCTTAAAATAGGGCTGATACAATTCCATCTAATTGTTGTGTTTAGTTCAATTTACACCACACTTTTGTTTTTAAATTGGCGTTTTGCTATCTTTGTATATGTTTGTGCTAAAAATTGCGAGCAATGTATAACAATATGTATGTACATAGGATTGCTGTAATAAAATTGTGTATCCAGTTATCAGTAAGTAGACTTTAAAATACTATATTTACATTGTATTAAAATTCGTTACTAGTGGATCAAATAGGGAATCCCAGAACAAAAGTATGCTTATTATCTCATCCACTTTGCAGATAAACAGCAATATAAGGATAAATATTTTATTCATGTATCGCATCTTATTTAGTTACAAAATGATCTGATCTGTAGAAAATTGCAGTCAGGCGTCTTTTATTATACCCCTATAGAGCTCCCAGGGAGAGTTATCTGTCATGTTTAAAACATGGTGCACTTGTATGAATAGCGGTGGATTGACTCACCTGCCGGTTTAGGTAGGGTTGATCTAGGAGAATTGCTGTAAGTACGTATTTATTTATTCATGGCATTAGCTGTAATTCCCTTCATTGTCAGTACCACTGGCTTCTAGATACCTTATGCACATCAAATGAAACTACGCTGATTGCTCGTCTCAATTGCTGAACTATTACCATATCTTCCATTAATCTTCGCTCTGCACTCCCAATGATCACAGCAAATTATCCCTCTTTATAATTCACACTGACAGCCTTTTATTCTTTGTAATGCATTGTGTTCCCCATTTCCTGGACTCTATCGCTGCACAATGTCTTCGTTACAAACTAGACTCATTTTAAGGCTGGCGTGTGAGATAAATTTCGAGTGAAAAGATATATTGGGTATAAATATTCTATATGTTTTATTCCACAATCACTCTGCGGCTTCACGAGTCAATTTATTTTCAGATGAACCATTTCTGCCGGCAAAGAATATCTCCACTGCTCTTTAATAAAGCCTTCTTTTTCTGAAACATATTTAAAGTAATGAGTTTGTAATTAACCTCACTGGCTTTAGCAGCCGTTCCATAAAGATGCAAACGTTTTTGTTTTCATTATTTTACTCAGAGTCAAGCGTAAAAATGCAATAATTACGATATGACGTATATTAAAAAAACTAAGTTAACAAAATATGATCGGAGTATGAACGCAGCGCTTAATGAGGTAGCATATGGGAGTGTGGAACCTCAATGACCTCTCTAAAAACGCAGCAAGAATGGGCATGTAAGTATGAGACGCTATTTTGGTAGGAAAGTAGATGAAAAGGGATCATCAAATTTTAAAGTTTTATAGTTTGAAGGAAAAAGCCCTGGCTTCGGACCTCAAAGATGGTCAAAAGAGTCGGGCCATCAATGAGTAACACACAAGAGAACAAATGAGGGAAAAAATGGAAAGGTTGGAAAGTAAGAGATAAAATTTTTTAAAAATGTACAATTAAATAATAATAAATACCTAATTAAAAAACCAAGGAACATTGATAGAACAGTCTAAGGCTGGCGTGGGTGGTGGCTATAATGTCCCTCAATTTATCAGTAAGATTTTCCATGAATATAATATATTGTACTTTCTTAGTAACTGATTTAAATTGGGCATCTGATAGTTCCACTTCTTAGCGATACATATTTGGACAGTGTTGCAGGTTCTATGGATTAATTTTAGCTCAATCTTGGAAAGCTTGCAGTTTAAAGGTCTAACCTTCAAAAGTGCCACCTTCGGGTCTGGGTCAAGCTTTATATTAAAGATATTTTATTTATTAGTAATTTGAAAACAGCACACCAAAATGTTTGTGCCTAGTTACCATGAATGTTAATATGATCCCACCACCCAGGGCCAGCAGGGCCGCTATCCGGGGGTGACAACCATGACGGGGGGCCTGGCCTCCTGGGCCCCACGTGTAGTGGCGGAACTGCTGCCAGTGCAGTTGCACCGGGGCCCGCATGCTGATGCGGCCTATCAGGTGGCCCATGCACTTAGGGCCACCCGATGGGCCCTATATCTTCAGGGGCCCGATCAGCGCTTTGGCCGTGTAATTGTGCGACCGGGCGTCTTTTAAAAAAAAAATGCAGCTGCGATGCAAGTGCTGCTGGGAGAAAGTGGTTACTTCCTCCTAGCTCACTTCGCGCGGGAGGAGAGCCAGCGTGGACTTGAAGAGGGAGAGCCGCGCCGACTCCCATCAGCCCGCACCGACTCCCATCAGCCCCAAAGAAAAGGTAAGAAACAGGAGGGTGGCTGAAAAATTAGCTCTGTGTGTGTATGTCTGTATGCATGTATGTCTGTCAGTATGTATGTATATATGTATGTATGCCAGTATCAATGTATGTCAGTATGGATGTATGTACAGTATGTGTGTATGGATGTCAGTGTATGTATGTCTGTATGTCAGTATGAATGTATGTCAGTATGAATGTATGTTTGTATGAATGTATGTCAGTATGAATGTATGTATGTATGGATGTCAGTGTCTGTATGCATGTATGTCAGTATGTATGCGTGTATGTATTATATATTTTCTACCTGTTCTCTGTTAAGTTTTGTATATATTGTGTATTAATATTGGTTTTTGTATTTTATTGTACCCTAATGTATCAATGCCAGTATCAATGTATGTCAGTATCAATGTATGTAAGTATGTGTGTATGGATGTCAGTGTATGTATGCATGTATGTATGCCTGTCTGTATGTCTGTATGTATGTATATATGTATGTATATATGCCAATATGAATGTATGTCTCTGTGTATGTATGTCCGTGTCTATATGTATGTCAGTATGTATGTATGTGTCTGTATGTCCTTATGCATGTGTGTCTGTATGAATATGTCTGTCTGTCACTATGTATGCCTGTGTGTTTGTATATGTATGTATCTCTCAGTATGTGTGTGTCAGTATGTATGCCTATATGCATGTATGTCTGTTTCAGTATGTGTGTCTGTTAGTATGTATCTGTGTGTGTGTGTATCTGTTTCCTTTTGTATCAGTGTGTGTATTTGTGTCTGTGTGTGTATTCCTGTGGGTGGGATTTGGAGGTGGTCCCTGTGGGCGGGCTTGGAGGCGGGCCCCTGGGGGCCCAGACCCTGAGCTGAGTTAGTGGCCCCAAAACTTCTGGTGGCGGTGCAAGGATTTTTAGCTACACAGGCGAAGATGCATTATATACCTACATACATACATACAGAGCCATACATACATACATATAGAGACATACAGGCATACAGAGCCGTACAGGCTTACATACGTAAGGCTTACAGAGACATACAGGCATACAGAGCCGTACAGGCTTACATACGTAATGCTTACAGAGACATATAAGCTTACAGAGACATACATGCATACAAACACATACATACAGGCATACATAGAAAAAAAAGATAAAAAGGTTAGCGCTAATAATAAATATGTGAAAAAATAAATAAATATGTACATAGACATACATACAGAGACAAACAGGCATACAGAAACATCCATACAGACACAAACATACATACATACAGGCATACAGAGACATACATACAGAGACATACAGGCATACAGAAACATACATACAAAGACATACAGGCAAACAGACACAAACATACATGCATACAGAAACATACATACGTACAGAGACATACATACATACATACAGAGACAAACAGTGAGGGAAAAAAGTATTTGATCACCTGCTCATTTTGAACATTTGTCCACTGACAAAGAAATGATCAGTCTATAATTTTAATGGTAGGTTTATTATAACGGTGAGAGAGAGAATAACAAAAAAAATCTAGAAAAACGCAGTTATAAATTAATTTGCATGTCAATGAGTGAAATAAGTATTTGATCCTCTGTCAATCAGCAAGATGTCTGTCTCCCAGATGTCTTTTATACAGGTAAAGAGCTGACATTAGGAGCACTCTCTTAAAGGGAGTGCTCCTAATCAGTGGTGTATCCTGGTTTTGTGCTGCCTTAGGCAGGACAAAACTCAGACATCCCCCTCCCCCTGTGCCACCCCCACCCAACCCTTCCCCCTGCCCCACCTTCTAAATACACACACACACACACACACACACAGTCAGACACAAATACACACACACAGTCAGACACAAACACACACACACAGGTAAGACACACAGTCTACACACACACACACACAGTCAGACACACAGTCACACACACACACAGTCGGACACAAAACACACACACACAGTCAGACACGAAACACACAGTCAGGCACACACACAGACACAAACACACGGTCAGACACAAGCACACACACACACACAGTCAGACACAGAAACACACACACAGTCAGACACACACACACACACAGCACACACACACAGTCAGACACACACACACACACAGTCACACACAAACACACACACACAGTCACACACACAGTCAGACACAAACACACACGTCAGGACGCACACACACACAGTCACACAAACACACACACAGTCAGACACAAACACACATACACAGTCACACACACACACAAAAGACACACACACAGTCAGACACACACACACACACACACACACACATACACACAATCCTCCATTAACAGTTTTTTACTTTAGCCCCCAGCCTCCTTACCTTTGGGAATGCTGGGCGGGTGGGTTCCCTCTCTTCCTGGGGTCCAGTGGCTGCTGGGCGGACGGGATTCCTCCGAGCTGACTGCTCAGTTCCCTTGCACGCCGCAGAGTGAGGCTGGGAGCCGGAATATGACATCATATTCCGGCTCCCATCCTCACTCTGCGGCGCACGAGGGAGCTGAGCAGACCGCTGAGAGGAAGAGCTCCCTCGCCAGCCGCCCGCCCGACCATCAGCCAGCGCCGCCCAGCACCCAGCATATCTGTTAGCCGCAAGGCTAACTAGGCATTTGCCCTGGGCATTTTACGCCGCGAAGGACTGACATCCTGCAGGGCCCGCAAGGTCCCCACGATCAAGTATGCACATGTATAGGCTCGTCTGAAGTTTGCCAATGAAAATCTGAATGATTCAGGGGAGAACTGGGTGAAAGTGTTGTGGTCAGATGAGACCAAAATCCAGCTCTTTGGCATCAACTCAACTCGCCGTGTTTGGAGGAGGAGAAATGCTGCCCATGACCCCAAGAACACCATACCCACCGTCGAACATGGAGGTGGAAATATTATGCTTTGGGGGTGTTTTTCTGCTAAGAGGACAGGACAATTGCACCGCATCAAAGGGACGATGGACAGGGCCATGTACCATCAAATCTTGGGTGAGAACCTCCTTCCTTCAGCCAGGGCATTTAAAATGGGTCGTGGATGGGTATTCCAGCATGACAATGACCTAAAACACACAGCCAAGGCAACAAAGGAGTAGCTCAAAAAGAAGCACATTAAGATCCTCGAGTGGCCTAGCCAGTCTCCAGACCTTAATCCCATAGAAAATCTGTGGAGGGAGCTGAAGGTTTGAGTTGCCAAACGTCAGCTTCGAAACTTTAATGACTTGGAGAGGATCTGCAAAGAGGAGTAGGACAAAATCCCTCCTGAGATGTGTGCAAACCTGGTGGCCAACTACAAGAAACGTCTAACCTCTGTGATTGCCAACAAGGGTTTTGTCACTAAGTACCAAGTCGAAGGCGTGAAATACTTATTTCACTAATTGATATGCAAATCAATGGATAACTTTTTTGACATACGTTTTTTCAGATTTCTTTTGTTTCAAAAAGATCTTACCCTGATATTCTGCTTCTCCGCTTCCTGCCTCATCCTTCTCTTCCAGCACTCCCCTTACTCTCTGCGCTCTCTTACCCTCTGGACTGAAGGAATAATGATGACATGGAACTAAAATTAAAATCAGGAGTATTTCTCGAGCTAATTCTCTTTTTGAGCCTGGGTCAGCATCCCTGCATAGAGATATAAGGCAGATTTTTGCATCAGACCAATATGTACTTTGGGAACAAATTAAACCTTAGAAAGCAAATTAGACCTCAAACAAGACTAATTGTCATTTTGCAGCTCCATCACACTACTACAGCATTCCACGTACAGATGGCGGCAATAGGTAATAACACTCATATATCCATGTCATTTTTTAAAATTGTTCTTTTATATTCTTTTATTATATCGTTGTACTTCACTCTATTGCTTTGCCTTCCCTTGTGTCTCATTTTCCGATATATACCAAGTCGAACGCCTACCTGAAGATTTGAAGTTCTACCTATATAAACAGCCAGGGATAATTCTGTCAGTGCAATTATTTTGTGCTCCACATAGCTCTGCACTACGCGAGTGTTTTTGAAGCACTTATTACCACTTCTATGGCTCAGTTACATGTTTCACTGTGATTCATTTCTGCTTTGTGTTTTATATGTGTATCATCTACCAACTAGTCAACATTCAAGAACACTCATGGTCTATTGCGTGCCTGTATACACTGGCCAATTTGTGGTGGATTGTTTATCTCAGAAACGGTTTATTCCCTTGGATTTTCACATACAAGAATCTTTGATGTTTACAGAAGATGGTGGTAAAAAAACAAACAAAGAAACTTGCAATGAGTGGCAATTCTGTTGGCGAAAACTCAAGGTGTCCATAACGGAAATTACCATGTGTTTCATCTTGGTTATGGAGAAAAGCATCTCAGAATGAACATCACATCTAACATTGAAGTGTCTGGGCTTCAGCAACAGTAGTCGGAGACAACACTGGGTTCCACTCCAGGAAGTTAAGAACAAGAAACTGAGGCTGCACCGCTCACATGCGCATCATAACTGCACAGTGGAAGAATGGAAAATGATAAACTGATGGAATTTAGCATGGATAACAAAAACCTGTGGATAAATACTGATTTGTGTTAATGGTACAGGCTAGTTCTGATGTGATAGGGGAACATTTTCTTGTACAGAAACTCAGCAATGTTTAAACGCCAGAAAATACCTAAACTTGTGCACTATTTTACGGCCAAGGTCTACCCATCTTCTAATGGCTATTTCCAGATGATAACACACCGCATTTCAATTTGGTTCCATCACCAGGAGCATGAGTTCAGTATTTTCCACTGGCCTCCAGTCACCAGGTCTCAAAGTAAAAGAGCACTTTTGAGATGTGATAGAATGGGAGATTTCGAAGCATGGATTTGCAGCCTACAAATCTACAACTGCATGATGTTTAATCAAACATACAAAATGCGCTCAAATGTCCACTACTCCTGGGCAGCAGCAAAAACCATAGCACACATCAGCCCCAATACATACAATAAAAAAGGTTACCTACACACTATCCCAAATCCCTATCTAAATTAAGTAGCTGGAGGATTTTACTATCACTCCAAAGGCCATTTAAGTGTAAGCTCCCCTGTCACGTCACGGTAAACCTCTTAGGTGAGTCCTACGCCAACAATTCACCTTGCCGTTTACAGCTTCGAGTAAAATATAATCTCTAATGAGACAGAGAGGGGTATTCTTCTAAACCCCTACATACTTATTAACTCTTAATAGGGAACATGGCGGTGCGTGCTGTCACCATGCCATCTTGGGCAATAATCTATAAGGAATGTATCTAGCAGCCTTTTCAATCAATGGCGTAAAAATCCAATGTGCACCTAATAAAGTGGGCATTGATATCTTGATATCGTTTATCATGGTGGTCTTTCTGTTAATGCAGCTACTGCCATTCTTTATTATGGAAAAAAGTAGCAGCGTTAAACCTGCTCGCGATGTGTAATACAGAAAGTTATTTCTGCTCATTCAAGAACTCTTTTGCAGCAATCTGCATATTGACGTCCCTGTTAAACTGGCTGCAAGACCGCTTATCAATGCGTCATGTGGGCATATTATTTTTCCTGCATCTCCTGCCACACATCATGTGGTAAAATACATGCTCCCCCCACAAACATGCCATTCCGAAACCCCCCTTAATAAAGAAGCTTGGCCGAAGATTTAATCATATGAAAAAATAATAAACTCAAAATGTATATTTTGCATCAAGCACAACTATATTATGGGGAAATATAATAAAAAAATAACCAAATTACTGAGCAGAAAGTGTATTCTATTACATTTATACAATATGAGGTGAGAATGTGTTACGGGAGCATCATTACAGACCAACAGAGTTTCTTCCCAAGGCTCTTCTAAACTGAAAAACTAAATATCCTCGCTCCATGAGAAGGAATTGACAGGAGATTTGTAAGCTCAGTTACATAAGGAAGATTAGTCATATTCTACAGCCATAAACCTAGGATTGCATGCATGCTACCATGGATAGGGAAGAAAAAAAAAAGTAAAATAATACCAGAAGATTCATTTTTATAAGAATGTCAAAGTTAACTTCAGCCTAAGGCGCAATGATGACTACCTACCAGCATATTTTAAACGCTTAAAAATGCTTTGTCTGCTTGAACGGAAACTCGATTTGATCCTGTCTTCCCCTGTGCTTCGGTGGAGATATTGTGTTGTCATGCGCCCATTAAATTACTGTCAAAACAGTAGGTCCAGTAACAGTATCTGCATGTCGCCCACATAGCATGGCGATAGTTTACAAGACAAACCTGCCTAATACGTATGGGAACTTTTGTCTTATAAGGATTCTGAACAGAAAAACGTGAGTGTTCTGTTTAACCCCCTTAAGAAAATGTGACGGAAATTTTCCGTCATGCTGGTCTTTTACTTCTGAAGCTATGTTAATGCTTTTCTAATGCGATCTATATATTGTGATAGGTGATAGGGTGTTAAATTCTGCACACTTACCTTAGGTGGAGAGTTACATGAGGCTTCTTCTGTTGAAAGTAAGAAGAGAGTTCCGCTCTCCTAAACTAGACCCTGCCATGTAGGACCTTTGTGTAATTTGCAACATACACTTTTTGTGGACACCTAGTTAAAGATATGCTCATCCAACTTTCCTATTCAAGCAGTATTTTCGTTACCCTTTCTGAGCTACAGCTTGAAGGCCATTGTTCATCTTTGCCAATGCAGTATGTCCATAGATGGTATTGTTGGACATTTCGATTACATCATTTTGCATTCTTAGTGAAGGATGCACCTGCATCTGAATCACCAACTATTTGACTTCTTCGGATTATGCCTTCGGAGTTATTCAATAAAGCATGAATTGCCAGGAATTCAAAGTGAATTGCAAGTGTTGTGCCAAAATAGTCGGACAGGAAATGCATATAATATACGTGTAAGAACAAAAGCTACTTTGATATTTTAGATTAAAACTGCTGTTGGAACAAATCTGTTTTAAATCACTGCATATCTTTACAGGCCTTGCAGGGTTAATACCGTATGGCCATTTTTATTTTTATAGGGAGATCCTTCAATGCAGAAATATCAGTGTTTTATTTCTGGATCCCGTCAGGCCCTAGCTATGTGTTTACAAGGAGCTTGGGTTTTTCTTATTGCCGAGCTGAGTGATCCGTTAGGAATATCACTGTACAAACAGCGTGTCTCTCACATCTCGCCAGGTTCCAGCTGCAGCAAATTAAAGGGAAAGCGAGAGGAGCCTGTCTATGTTAAGAAATCTCCAGGGAATGGGGAGATTATTCCTTAATCATGTCACCAAAAAAAAAAAAAAACGCGCTCTTTCATGCTTCGAGCGAGGCATGAAGAAAATATAATTAGCATAGTCATTAATTATTTCTGGAATGAGTTTTATAAAGTCAAGAAACTGGACCTTGTTCTTTCAATCTACCAAGAAGCGATGATTTTATAGACTTCCACGTTAGTATTTCAGGAGTATGTAAATCAGTGGTTTATAGAAGAAAATATAATAATTTGGACCAAGATTTAGCAGAGCAAGTGGACATCGCTCTTTCCCAATCCAACCATCTCCAATCCTTTCATAGGAGTGTGGTTCATAGGTGATGTAAGCTTCAAGAGCACAGACTGACCTTCCCTCCCTCTCCCAATTAGAGTCCTAGCCCCATCCCACCATCGCAATGTTCTTCCAGGATAAACTAAAATATTGAACAGGCAGGCTTGTCTTGCATGAGATTACCTTCCCATTAAAATAGATCTCTAACTTAGAGTTACATTTTACATACATAGCAATATACAATATAAACACTACTATGATTGGTAACCATAGTGAAATGTCAAGTGTACAAATACTTAACTTAAAGTTACAATGCAGCCTCCCAAGATTGCAACCCAGAGAAGACGACCTTTTCAATGTATAGACAACCAAAACACAAAATATCTGGGATACGGCTGAAATAAGTCTAAAAGGAACATAAAAATATACAAATAGGGAAGTACAGTTAACACAATTATGCACTGTATATAATTGCACTCAGAAGATTGTGTAGAATGAATCGCTCATAGGGTGCCTTCCCCGATGTAGTGGGGACATTTTACATACAGACTGACCTCTATCTTAATCTGCTCTCCCCAAAAACTTCTTCTAACTCATGCTAACATTCAACAGCAAGTGGTGACTTTCCTTTTTTGTCATTTACAGTTGTAGTAGCAAAATCAGTCATCTTATATAATAAGTATGTTTGTCAGACTGGACAGTAGATGGCGCTGTTCCATATGTGTAACGTTACCTCTTCGCAGTCCCCAAGGTGAGGTCACTTCTGCGCCAGCTAAACGACGTTCCCCACACATCCCGATGTGCAATGCTCCATTGTGATGGAATTCGTGCCACAGAACGTTTTCCCTGTGCCCATTTATGTATTAAAGGGACACTCTAGGCACCCAGACCACTTCTGCCCATTGGAGTGGTCTGGGTGCCAACTCCCACTACCCTTAACCCTGCAACTGTAAATAATGCAGTTTTCATAAACTGCAATATTTACATTGCAGGGTTAACTCCTCCTTTAGTGGCTGTCTACTAGACAGCCACTAGAGGGCACTTCCTGGTCTATAGCACAGGTTTTCTGTGCTATAGCATCGCTGGACATCCTCACGCTATGTGAGGACCTCCCGCTCGCTAAAATCCCCATAGGAAAGCATTGAAAGCATTTTCAATGCTTTCCTATGGAGAGGTCTAATGGTTGTGCACGTCATTGCCGTGCATGCGCATTAGGTCTCCCGCCGGCGGCCGCGCATGTGCAATAGGCCTCCCCCGCCGGATGACGTCAGCGGGTGAGGAGCGTGGGCGGTTCCCTAAACCAGCGCCGCGGGACATCGGCTCTGGATACAGATAAGTCACTGAAGGGGTTCTAACCCCTTCAGCAATATGGGATGAGGGGTGGGAGGGAGAGGGGACCTGCAGTGCCAGGAAAACGATTTGTTTTCCTGGCACTGGAGTGTCCCTTTAAATCTACATAGTGCTTTTTTAATGTAGTGTGCACACATTGATGAAATCGCACTGCCTTGTGTCCATTACTACCCAGTACAGGGTATATATATATACACACACTTCCTAACTATTGCTGTTTCATTGCCTGTCGTGGTTTTTGTATATCCGAGAGTGTGTTATTGTCTAGTGATTTACTGTTTATCGACCTTGGCTTGTCTGACTATTCTTGCTTTCTGTAATTCTTACCGTGGCTTGTGTCTCGCTTCTGTTATCCTCGAACTCGGCCTGCTTACATTTATTCTGTCACTGCTCGCTGAGGTTCTGTTTTATTTACTCTATGGTAGCCCGGCCACTCAAAGTTTTAGTATGCACTCTAACTATTGCACTGGCTTTAACTGAAACGGTCTAATCACATTTTTGTTTTTTTACCTGTAAGGTGTAATCCCGACATTTGTTTGAATCCTGCCTAACAGAACACTAAAATGTTAGGAATACAAATTGTAATCCTAATGCTTTCATGCCCTGTCCCTATTTATATAGGTTCACTCCCCCCTCCCTTGTGTGTTACTTTTTTAATGCCATGTGTTCATCCAAGTTTCCCCATTGAATTAATGCTTTCCTATGGGGGCTTCCGCATCACATGAGTGAGTTGTGCTCAGTCAGTGCAACGGTAGCGCCTCCAGTGGCTGTCAGTGTAACAGCCATTGGAGGTGTGTTTAACTCTCCAAGGTTTCTGAAAAACGACAATGTTCTACCTTAAATAGTTTGATTGACGGGGCCCCATTAACCTGTGTCAACGTGTGCTGCTAAATCTAAGGTATTTCTTTACTAAAAACTGAAATGGAGTAAAATGAAAAATGAATTGCAAAAATATTGGACAATGGTAAATAAATATAAAAATTTGATTATAAATTTAGTGAAATTTAGTGTTTTAAAAAATGAAGGTGTATGTTTGACTGCCCATCGCATTCTGTTTCTAACTTGGCATTAATTTCAGCACCACAGGCTGAGTTCTCAATCATCTTTAAATCCTGGGATTTAAGAAAAAAAAAATCTAATTTGTAGATACCTATATCTACAAATTAGATATCTCTGTTGGCGAAACATTAATTTTAAGGTCAGGGAAGGATCGGTACCTTTTTTAAAGGGGCACTCCAGACCCCTAAACAACTTTAGCTTGCTGAAATGATTTATGTGTGAAGAGTGAGTCCTATTTTTGAAAAAATTGACACTTTTATAAATGTAGCTGGTTACATCCGCTTGGCTTTCAAGCAGACAACAGGTTATGTTACTTCCTGGTTTTGTTAGGTCAATGCAGCTGACCTCAAGAAACAGCAATTGCCCAGAGCACCTAACTTACAAAGACTTCTCATTGAGCTGTATTTGGAAGTCTGTGATTGGACAGCCACAGAAAGTCTGGGCCGGGTTAAAAGGGGAGAGCATGCAAAGGCAGCAGACCAGTGGTGTATCCTGGTTTTGTGCTGCCCTAGGCAGGACAAAACTCAGGCACCCCCCTCACCCCACGCCACCCTCACCCAACCCTTCCCCCCACCCCACCTTCTAAATACACACACACACACACACAAACAGTCAGACACACACACACACACATAGTCAGACACACACACACAGTCAGACACAAACACACGCACACACACACACAGTCTCACACACACACACACAGTCAAACACACACAGTCAGACACAAACACACACACACACACACACACACACAGAGTCAGACACACACACACAGACACAAACACACACGCAGTCAGACACACACACACACAGTCAGACACACACACACAAACACACACACACACACAGTCAGACACACACAGTCAGACACAAACACTCACACACAAACACACACACAGTCAGACACACACACACACACAGTCAGACACACACACAATCACTCACATTAACACTTTTTTTTTTTATTTACTCCCCCCCCCCAGCCTCATTACCTTTGGGAGTGCTTGGGGGGGGGTTCCTCTCTCTCCCTGGTGGTCCAGTGGCTGCCGGTCATGCTGATGGGCTGGCTGATGGGCGGGCGGCTGGCGAGGGAGCACTTCCTCTGAGCACTCTGCTCAGTCCCTCGCGCGCCGCAGGTGAGGCTGGGAGCCGGAAGATGACGTCGCTCCCCGACCACTCCTGTGGCAGCTGAACAGCGCTCAGAGGCTTCTTAGCCACCTCCCACCATCAGCCAGCGCCCAGCATGTCTGTTAGCCGCAAGGCTAACAAGGCATTCGCCCTGGGCATTTGGGGGCGGCGTTTTTTGCCGCCCCCTGAAAAATGCCGCCCAAGGCAAATGCCTTGTTTGCCTTGCGGCTAATACGTCCCTGCAGCAGACAAGAGAACTGCAGGTTTTGCAAACTAATTTTAGATATATAGTCAATGAAAAAATGCAACAGTAAATGCTTGCAAGTTTTCATTTGGGGTATATCTACTAAACAGTGATGTTTAGTTGTTTGTTTTTTTATTTGGGCAGTGGAGAGTCCCTTTAACATTTAACGTGCATGTAACTTAGAACGGGCAGGTAAAGGAACCCCAGGCACTTTGTTTCTATCTACCCATCCCTGATCTTATTCCAATTTCTTGTTGAGCCTGAAAAAATAAGGATGCCTTTATCAAGCTGTCTAACGAGTACCTCCAAGAATTTACCCTGCTACAGAAGCACACAGGAAGGATTCTTCCTGTGGTTCAAAGCAACTGTCACTTTTAGAAACTAACGTGTTAAATATGCATTAATCATTCATAACAATGAGATTCTAATTAATTTTCTAATTCAATCAGCAAAGGAAATGTGGGACAATTCAGATACTGGAGGAATTTTCAATTTAGCGATCTATTGTTCTACACTCCGTTTTAATTGTTGTGCTAACCAATTTATAATCTTCTGAACAAATCATCTGAATTAAAATTGTTGTATATTTCTATTTCAAGATAAAAAGACATATTCCATCTCGTCTCCTAGGCACAATGCGTACAAAACGTTCCATTTATGTTCATCCCTATTCACATGATTTCAGCACAAAGAAAACCGGAGTCTGTATAATTTGCAATCTGTGGCTTTTCACATCGAAATCATGCTAATGATAAAGATTTGATTCAACTTGTACAAACTGTATTATAACCAAGATTGGAATATACTGTATAAAGTATTTATAGTCAGTTTGCATAAGTCTGTAGGGGAAATGTCACATGCCAGGATTTTTAACATGTTCACTTATCCCATATATTTAACAAAGATGAATTTTAAGGTCTTAAAAATAAAATTAAATCCACATTGTTGTATTTACCTTTACTCAAAAAGTAAGCACTCCCACCTGTCAAAGAGTTATAAAAAAGCAACCTTTTCTGTTACTAGTTCTCTCGTTTAAAGTGTACCTTGATTGCGCCTGAACTGAACTGGATAGTGACGTTCTCGCAAAATATTTAAAATAAACTTACAGGGAAATTGTTACATTCAGGAGTTTTAAATATCATGCTTACTTATCTATCTATCTATCTATCTATATATATATATATATATACACTTGCTAATTATCAATAGATAGGTGGATTTGTGAAAAATAAAATTAAATACAGAAATCCATACTTCTTTATCCCGCAATTGGGTGCCTCCATTTTAGCTCCCTGTCATTCGTTGTTATACCCTCGGTCCTTTGCACCTGATAGTCAACATAGAGAAAGCGTACAAAGAAGAGTTGAACTGAAACCCTGTTTCTATTTGTTCTCTTCATTTGCATTGTGTGCCCTGGCGTTGCCCTGTCTTAACTGGATTAAGATGTCATTTGATAAATCTTTAAAATAAATAAATAAATACAAAAAGTGGTGCTTGTCATGAAAACAATTATCACAGGTTATAGGTTATTTTCAATTATTTAATTATGTGTTTCCCTTCACTGAAAAAAACCCAAGGCTAATACAAGTTATAGGAAATATTTAATATTTTATTAGTGAATTTTCTAGAGCTGTGATGGTTCCCCTTTCAGAAAGCAATCGCATTACTGTAGAATTTGTTTTATATGACCTTTATGATTTTACATGACCTTTATTAACCAACTAATTAATCTTATTCATTAATAAGTTATTTGTGGCAGATAGAAAATGGAGGCAAGAACTATGCAGTTGGTAATTCTTGCTGTGTTGTAAATGTCTTATAATATATTTTTTGTCCTTTTCTTAATTATAGACAGATAACTGTGGAGGTACTACCCGATGTGTGTTAGTTTCTGCACATATCATGCCATTTACCCTTTACCCTTTCCAAAAATACTGTAGATAATTTTTTTTCTTACTCGTCAAATTTGCCCTTCGGGGTTCCTCCTGAAATTCAGTAGCAGTTTCTCTCATTAAACTAATGTTGCTGCCATTGCCGTAATAGGCCTTTTTAAAAACTTTTTTTTCAAAAAACTTTATTTGGCCAAACAAAGAGGTTGGTTTTTTTCTATGCCATCTACATCAAAATGATATATAGATCAAATCTATTGTGGTTGAGCTATTGTACCAGTAAGCATTTTATCTGTGGTCTGCAACTATACAAGAACTGTATATACAATAATGTATACAGCCAGACGGTATTCTGACGTTCGTATCCACTAACACCATCTATTGATATACTTGGATAATTTCAGGAAAAGAGTGTTGGGAACATGCATGATGTTTTCTATAGAAGACGATTATGGTTTCTGGCAATTTTATTGATGCAATTTAAAGTGACACATAATCCAGTTATTTATATATATAATTATATTTTGTAATTTATATTTTTATTGAGATGATAGTACATCACACAGACGCTTAAATATCCAGCATACAGCTGAGTAACAGATTGCATATAGGAATTGTCATAAACTGAACTGGCACTAGCATCTCATTTTTAAAAGGAAAATAAAATGATAATAAAGTTACGTAAACAGACGAATATACAGCCTCTGAAACTGCCAAAAGATCAAGTTAGTGTATTAAATTATCATGCAAAACATTTATTGTCAATCAACTATGTAACTATGTAAGAAGTATGCTTGTCAGCCAGCCGTTATAGTAAATAACATTAAAGGGACACTATAGTCACCAGAACAACTACAGCTTAATGTAGTTGTTCTGGTGCCTGCTGCCTCAACCTGCAGGCTTTTCAATGTAAACACTGGCTTTTCAGAGAAAATGCAGGTTTTGCATTATAGCCTAGGGACACCTCCGGTGGTCACTCCTCAGATAGCTACAGTAGGTGCTTCCAGATGGCTACAGTAGTTGCTTTCTGACATTCAGTGTCTCCATGCTCTGCATGGAGTCGCTGAACTGTCCTCCTAGAGAGGCATTGATTCAATGCATTTCTATGAGGAGATTCTGATTGGTGCTGAGCAGCAGGATTGGCTGAGATCATCAAGTTTAGCGATCTCAGTCAAGTGTGGCCATCTGGGACTTACCTGCGCAGCACTGGAAGTAATGTAAGCTAAATCACCTTTCACTTAGCTGTCAGGGGGCCGGCCACTAAATATTGCATTAAAAGCTATAGTGACAAGAATAATGTTTGTAATCCTGTCACTATTGCGTTCCTTTAAGCATTAAGTCAATACATGCTGAGATGTTAGCATAGAAAACCAGTAAGTGTTAACGAGGCAAGTATATGTTATGTGAAGAAACTATTCAGTAGTATTTTTCATGCTGCTGTAATCGCTGATGCTCACTGACCGGTTGCTCCTAGCAAAACCAAATGTGTTTGTGAGACTAAAAAAGAAAATTAACTATAGAAATCCCTGAGTACTGAGTACATCCATCTTGGCTCCCTGTCAATCATTTGCATAAGCCCTGCCCTTTTCAATCATTAAAACAAAATCAGCCTTTCCACCTATCAGTCAGCACAGAGATCTCCTCAAAACATGTATCAAACATCTTCATGGAAGGAACATAGTAAAGACAGGAACCGGAAATAATGTTTCTGTTTCTCATCTTTCAAAGCAATGTATGCCCTGGTCATGCCAGGACTAAAGTGGATTGTGATGTCATATATATTTAAAAGAAAATGGAGACTCACAGAAAAAAATACCACCCATGATTTTCAGTGTTTTAGCCAGTTGTGTAATTTCCAAAGATGTTCCATTTAAACCTCTCTATTTCCATTCTATTTTTAAAAATTTAATTCAAGAAGAAGAATTAATGGAGTAGGCAACCTTCCGCCTACTTATCTCCCATAATGCTCTAAAAGCCATAATACTGGCAAAGCATCAGGGGATATGTAGTCAACAACATCTGGAATTCCATGGGTTGTTTACCCCTGCTCTACATTGTATATTGCTATAAGCTTTTTTCTCATATTTAAGTTATTTGTGAAGCCATAAATTGTAGATTAATTGTATAAGAGTTTTTACGTTCACTGAGGTCACCTAGCACTTGTTTCTTGAAAATATAAAAATTCTGTCTTGTTTGGGTGTTACACCAATGCCAACGTACATAGTAAAAGTAAAAACAGAGCACATTAACAAGTCTTCCAATTATCAATTGATTTACCAGGTGGTTATAACATAAAAACATAATTGTTCTTGATAGAGAGCCATGTGAGGATCAAAATGTTGATATCACCACTGGGTGAGTAAATCGATAAAAGGAAGAATGTAACCGATTCGTGACTGCACTGGAAAGATCTGAAATGCGTTGCCGCTAATTCTTCTCTTACTTCACACCAGATTTGACTTGTACGTTGTGTCTGCACTTTTTTTCTTAGAAAATTAACAATATTCTCTTTGTCTTTTAGGCTTTGGAATGACAACCCCAGCCACGATTGCGGGGAAAATTTTTCTAATCTTCTATGGTCTTGTTGGATGCGCAGCGACCATCTTATTTTTTAACCTCTTTCTGGAACGCTTGATCACGGTTATTGCTTATATAATGAAATCATTTCACGAGAGACAATTAAGAAGAAAGGATGGTCAGCCCCCAGAAATGCGTCGAGGCTCTGGTAACTCAGAGGTGGATAGTCTAGCTGGATGGAAACCTTCTGTGTACTATGTAATGCTCATTCTGTGCGTGGCATCCATTATCATATCCTGTTGTGCCTCTGCCATGTACTCACCAATCGAAAAATGGGGCTATTTTGATTCACTTTATTTCTGCTTTGTTGCCTTTAGCACTATAGGTTTTGGTGATATGGTTAGTAGTCAAAAAGCCAAATATGAAAACCAAGGACTGTACCGGTTTGGTAATTTTATATTTATACTTATGGGTGTCTGCTGTATGTATTCGTTGTTTAATGTTATTTCTATAGTCATTAAGCAGTGTGTTAACTGGATATTAAAGAAGTTAGACTGCAGGTGCTGCCAAAAATGCCAAAGAAAACTATTTAGGCCTAAGAGGAATGTGGTAATGCCAGGAAACATTCGAACTAGACGGAACATCTCTATCGAAACTGATGGTATTTACGAGAGTGAAACAGACGGGAGGCGGATGTCCGGAGAAATGATCTCCATGAAGGACTTCTTGGCTTCAAATAAAGTCTCATTGGCTATCATGCAGAAGCAACTCTCAGAAACGGCCAATGGTTGTCCACGGCAAATTGGCACAAGTTCTAGACACAATGGGTTCTCGGGTGGTGTGGGGGCATTAGCAATTATGAATAATCGCCTTGCAGAGACTAGTGTGGACCGGTGATGAAATGAAATGGAATATAAAAGCATGACTGTGTTTGCAGTGTCAATGGAGGTTATATATGAAAAACAATTCTCAAAGCAAAATGTGTAGCAATTGACATGAATGAACCTTTGATAGGTTTCCATGGTGATTGTTCCACTTTTAGAACTTTTAGTTGACCCAAGATTACTACGTAGTCTTCACTCCATGTAAGGCTAGTGTGGAGATCACTGTAAGAATATTGTGCCCCAGGTCTAGAACTGATTTTATTGTTTTGCACAGAAATCTCAATACCCAACAATGATTAGAAACCTTAATTAATCTACACATCTTCGCTGCTAGTAGAGTCTTATTATATGTGCATACAGGTTTGATGTTCCTGTGACGCCATATGGTATTTTTTCTTAATAGACTGAGGCGGAGTTTGATAACATGTTTGTTCTGGTACCACAACAAGTTGGAAAATAAATGCAACCTTTCACAGACATAATTTTAACATATAAAAAGATTCTTCTATAGATGTGCGCACCCTAGAACTCTAATCCAATACATGTGGGATGGCAAGAGGCTATAACTAAGGGACATTTGTGTTTGAGAATAGGCCCATTATACAGAAAACTATTGCTGAACTCATTTGGATATGTCTATCAAGTTTAGTTTGATTGAATTTATTTGTAGAGTACTCTACTACAAAGAATACAAGAATATAATTATAGGGTTATTTGAGGGCAAAATTGTGACATTTCTGCAATCAACGTAATTATTTAATTGTTTTCCATAGTTATTAACCAATGCTAACCGCCAAATTTGCCCCTATTGAGCGTTAATATATTACCCTAAACCACAAGTTTGGTTGGATTTTAGTTACAACGTACCAGATCTTGCATACAATTATACTTTATGAATCATTACTAATGAACACAATATACTGCATTCAGGTTACGTTGGTGAAGTCCATTGAATATAAGTTATCAGCTCGTGCAAGTTCAGTAACTTGAGCTTTTTACAATAAACTGGTATGGTCCAACTATTGCACAATGCTTGGCCAACTTTGACTTGGGTGCATTTTGATGAATATCCTAGTTAAACATTTTCTTGTCTAAATGTGGCCAACTGTTGAATGACTGAAACTAACTCCAATTTTTTGTGGACAGCATTTTCCGATTCTTTAGGAAATGTAGTTCCTTAAACATCTGAGATACTAATATAAGCCATCACTGGCCTACGCTATGGTTTACAAAATATATATGAAAATATGCTTGCCATTTTTAAGTACTGTAATATAATGTAATATAGTTCAATATTTCTCCAAAGGAGAACAATGTTTTTTTTAAATTTATTTCACAGGGACAATTGGCCTTCTTTAAGTAACACAAACTTTACAGACAAGATCAGCGGTTACTTTGAGATCAGTAAATCGAGTAAATTCACATTCAAATTGTCCGTGTTTAAATTATGGAATTCAGGAATTCAAAAGTCACTATTATAGTGAAGTAATTATGCTGTTAATGGGAGTTAGGGTTGAGAGCCTTAGGTCAAGGTAGTATCTACCTTCAAGATACGGTGTAATTGCTTTCACTGTCATGTGAACTACCATCCACAGGATGTTAAAGGCACGTACTAACTATCCCAAGGTTATCTTTACAAAAACCCTTCCCAACCTTAAGGCCTTTATCCCTAACAACCCCTAATATTACAGACTCCTTAAACTTAACCTACCCTTACTTCTAACCTTACCATAATGGCCACCTAACCCTTACTATAGCTTACCCCTAAAAGTAGCCTAGTAACAATGCTATATACATCATTGTGTAAAAATGCTATTTTTTCATCAATATGTGCTATAGTGACACTGACATTTGAAACTTGCTGTTTGACAGCTATGTTTTAAATGTATATGGCTCTGATCCCATTTACAATTCTCTACCCGAGAACATGGCATTAACCAACTGGGATTATCCCTTAAATTTACATTTAGAAGAAGCAACCCTGATTAAAACGGCGACACTAGTTACATTGCAGATTCCTGCCAGTAAAAGATCATTAACAGAGCGCATTCAGGATGGGTTTGAAATGTTGACACAAACAAAAATTCAAGCTTCTAAGTCTCTCCTCCTTCATTTGTGTTGTGTTGACAGATTTTGTGGCCGCTAAATGTTTTATATCAAAGAGAAAATTGCATGATATCTTATTCTATGATAGCTCTGTATCAAAATGAGAAGGCTGTGTTTGTCTATAAACCTGTGATCTGTTTTTACATAATTATTTATTTTCTTACTAGTGGTGGGGGGGAAGAAAAAAAAATCATAAAAAACGATTCAGAGAGAATTTGTACAATCTTCAAGTTTTGTTGAAAAACATTTGTATAGTTCTTTGCCAGCCAATACCAACTTTGTTCTATTGGTTCACAAATCTTTTGTTTTAAATAAATATTTTCTTAATAATAATTATTAATAGTTTGAAGGTGTTTAAACGGGAAAATTACTTGTAACTGTTTGCTAGTTTCAAAGTGTGTCTTGGGGGTCTAGATTAAAAACCATCTTTAAGAAACACTCCAAATACCATAACCACCACAAAGGACTATTGTGTCCCGATGTAAGGAGACCAAAAGTTTTAGAATGGTTTGACTTCTTACCTAGGATCTGACGGACACCATTCGCCACCTTACCTAGGATCTGACGGACACCATTCGCCACCTCCACTACTTCCCATGAAAAGCTGGAAGTTCTCTATCGAAGCTAAGCCCAGTGGTGCAAGGCTGAGCTCATTGGCTGAGGGTGATCAGCTGCCACTCTCAGCCAACGATCTAACCCTGCACTGCACGGCTTAATTCAGGAGTGCTAACAGAAGCTCCTACTTAGAAAGTAGTGTAGACAGGAGTGCTACCTGGCTGACCCCAGTTTAATTTTTCGACCACTTGTACTAGAGGGTGTCAGGGCACTCCTGGGCTCATAACTACTACAGAAAACTGTTGTAGTTTTGGTCTTTTGGGTGTTTCTTCAAATGGTATTCATTTGGACCTTGTGAGGAGTCTAACCAGTGGCTCAGCAACTGTGAGCATCAGGAGCCTTATCCACCAAGCTTTCTCACCTGTCTATCTCACCTGTCTTACCCACAATCAGCTGCACCTATAAACATACAACATTAATAGGCGCACAATAAGGATCATTTGTTAAGCTCCAAGGTTGCAATAACAAATTCTAAGAACATCACTAGTAGCCTTCAGGGGAACATTTCAGGAGGTAGTTCATAAAATTTAATATTCTCCAAAATTAAGTCAATGACCTCGAAGTTTATGTGGATGAGCTCTGAACCTGAATTGACAAAATGTACCTTTTGATGACAAAGATGCCTATGGTTTTGACAAAGTGATACGTCATAGGAAAAGAAGACAGGGAAGTGAGCAAAAGCTGGCTTACAAAATCTCCGTACACATCTGCGCAGCAAATTCATTATTTTAATATTTGCATTATTTATAACCATGGAGTATGTGATCATGTCCCATTGCAGAATATCGCTATAAACAGCAAATAGCGGTGATATGTAAGCTTTCAAAAATACGACTGGAAAAAAAAATAATGCTCATCCATTTAAAGCTTGTCACATTTTTCCCATTAGTGAATAAATCTAGCATATTAATTGGTTTGTTCAAGACACTATATCTATTGACCCACATATCCACAGGACACTGTTCTTGGTTATTTCAGGTGTTTGCTAAGCCCTGTGCTGTCCGTGTGGGCAAAGAGCAAAGTATTATTGATTGGATGAGGTTAAAATCTAGACTACTGAACAATCAAACCATTAAGACGTAACACGCAGCTGATATTGAGCTGTGTTTTTAAACAGATGGATGTGTATTTACTTAGATCACTATCAAACATTGCAAGAAATGTGTTTGAGAACTTTTTATTATTAGTAATAACTATCTGCACCAGTTATTATTATTATGTTATTATTTATACAGCGCCAACAAATTCGGTTGATTTTTAAAAATTTTATTTTATAGAATTCATAATCTACTACAGGCCTGCAATATATAAAATATAATTGTAATAATTATACACACACCTCCCAACAGTCCTGGGTTTGGAAGGACATTCCCAAATTTGGAGTATTGTCTCGCTGTTCCAGGTTTGCTGTCTGATGTCCCACATTTGAGGACACCAGAGACTCAGTGTCCCATTAAGACACAGTGCAAGTGCATCATTAGATGTGCTGTGCTCGCATTGAGCAAACTGGGCGGACGTCATTCAGCTCATTCTGTGCATGCACTGCTCTCAATAGGATTGGCTAGCGCTAAGCACAGTCGGCATGGCTGCCATCTCTGGCATACCCCCGTACCCCTCATACCCTTGCCTAAACCTCCAAAAGATGTGTGTTGTATACAAACTACAAACAAATGGGGGTAATATTTTACTACAAGAGAAAGCTTCATATGTTTATTTTGGATAAATAATTTTTTTTTTTTTAAATCAGATTCAACAAAAGCATAAGCCAGATCTTTAAAAGTGGCGCACTCACCACAGAAACTATTACAATCTACAGAAGCATTTCAAGATGGTGGCTCAGCTTAAGACCTTTGCTTCACTTTTTTGTTGGCGACACTTTTAGTATATCCCTCAAATCCCTAATTTATTTCCCAAACAATTAATTAGTGTTACTTAAAAACAGCATCACAAAATATAAAACAAAATAGCTAAGCTGAAAAAAAACACGCAGGTTTAAACAAAACAAAAACCGAGAAAGCTACTGTATTAGATAGCGAATAAATACAATGCTTACCGTAGCTGTAAATGGGAATTCAGAGAGTAAGAGGCAAGGTTCAAGATGGAGTTAAATACAGAGATGTGGCTTCTACATTTAAGTTTCTTTTTTAGAACTCACAAACACAAAAATGTATTGTTAACGCTAAAGTGCCCTAATCACTGTATAGGTGACTGAGTCCCTCCCGCCAGGGTTAAAAAGGTGAGTTTGCCTGGTCCCGGCATTCCGCTCTGCCTCTTTGTCTGAGATAATCGAGATCGATGATCTAAGCCAATCCAATGCTTTCCCATAGAAAATGAGACCATCAGTTAACTAGTCTGGGTGCCTATGGAGTCCTTTCAAATGAGGAGGATAAGTGGAAACAATAATAAAGAGCCCGTGAAGTATTGCTCCCTATTTATTAAAAAAAAAAAAAAAAACATTGATATAAAAACATTATTTGAAATATAAATTAATTATAGCACAGGTGTCATTTTTGACATGTGAATGTAACAGTTTGTGAATGGTCTAAGGCAGTGGTTCCAAAACCAGTCCTCAAGACCCACCAACAGTCCAGGTTTTGTCAGTATCTCCATCAGAATAAAAAATCAAATACATCAATCCTGGATTGCTAGTGGGCCATGAGGAGTAGCGGTTTGGGAACCACTGGTCTACAACAATGATAAATTAACTTGGTAGCTATAAGACTGGAAACTACATTTCCCTAGATGCTCTGAAAAACATCCAGGTGCCAAAGTGGTGAACTATTTTAAGACTATTTGTTAAACTGAGAATTCAAAGTGAATTTAAAATTTAAGGCCAGGGTAGCCAAACTGGAAGCATAGCGGACTTAGAAAATGTTTCCAGGTCTGCTATTCTGATCATAAATGTTAAATTCACTTTTAATTCTCACTTTAGTGAATAGCCTGGTTTGTGTTTGCAAGTTAAGGAAATAAGGTTAAATTTTAGTCATGAAACTAAAGTAATATTTTCCCTTCACTCTGTCCTTTGAATGTTGGGCCATATTAATAAGTGTAGCAGCATGCGGCCTATTTATTTTGGGCAACGACTTCAGATTCTAATTGACATTCTCTCACTTCCTCCCAGCATTGCCAATATTACAGGGGCCCAGTCGCACTCTTAAAGGGCCATGGTGACAGATTAGGCCCATGTTCAGCAATGCCCATTGGGTAGCCTCAAGTGCATGAGCCACTGGATGAGCACCCCCCCAAGTGTGTGTGTGCTGATCCCTAATCTGTATGTTGTATATAATTTGGTCTTTACAGCAGCAACATCACTTAAAAATACATGTTCCATGTGTGTGTCCCCAATTCCCCTTGGTTATACATGTTCCAGGTGTGTGTCCCCAATTCCCCTTGGTTATACATGTTCCAGGTGTGTGTCCCCAATTCCCCTTGGTTATACATGTTCCAGGTGTGTGTCCCCAATTCCCCTTGGTTATACATGTTCCAGGTGTGTGTCCCCAATTCCCCTTGGTTATACATGTTCCAGGTGTGTGTCCCCAATTCCCCTTGGTTATACATGTTCCAGGTGTGTGTCCCCAATTCCCCTTGGTTATACATGTTCCAGGTGTGTGTCCCCAATTCCCCTTGGTTATACATGTTCCAGGTGTGTGTCCCCAATTCCCCTTGGTTATACATGTTCCAGGTGTGTGTCCCCAATTCCCCTTGGTTATACATGTTCCAGGTGTGTGTCCCCAATTCCCCTTGGTTATACATGTTCCAGGTGTGTGTCCCCAATTCCCCTTGGTTATACATGTTCCAGGTGTGTGTCCCCAATTCCCCTTGGTTATACATGTTCCAGGTGTGTGTCCCCAATTCCCCTTGGTTATACATGTTCCAGGTGTGTGTCCCCAATTCCCCTTGGTTATACATGTTCCAGGTGTGTGTCCCCAATTCCCCTTGGTTATACATGTTCCAGGTGTGTGTCCCCAATTCCCCTTGGTTATACATGTTCCAGGTGTGTGTCCCCAATTCCCCTTGGTTATACATGTTCCAGGTGTGTGTCCCCAATTCCCCTTGGTTATACATGTTCCAGGTGTGTGTCCCCAATTCCCCTTGGTTATACATGTTCCAGGTGTGTGCCCCCAATTCCCCTTGGTTATACATGTTCCAGGTGTGTGTCCCCAATTCCCCTTGGTTATACATGTTCCAGGTGTGTGTCCCCAATTCCCCTTGGTTATACATGTTCCAGGTGTGTGTCCCCAATTCCCCTTGGTTATACATGTTCCAGGTGTGTGTCCCCAATTCCCCTTGGTTATACATGTTCCAGGTGTGTGTCCCCAATTCCCCTTGGTTATACATGTTCCAGGTGTGTGTCCCCAATTCCCCTTGGTTATACATGTTCCAGGTGTGTGTCCCCAATTCCCCTTGGTTATACATGTTCCAGGTGTGTGTCCCCAATTCCCCTTGGTTATACATGTTCCAGGTGTGTGTCCCCAATTCCCCTTGGTTATACATGTTCCAGGTGTGTGTCCCCAATTCCCCTTGGTTATACATGTTCCATGTGTGTGTCCCCAATTCCCCTTGGTTATACATGTTCCAGGTGTGTGTCCCCAATTCCCCTTGGTTATACATGTTCCAGGTGTGTGTCCCCAATTCCCCTTGGTTATACATGTTCCAGGTGTG